TTCATCTAGTTCTGTGAAGTTAGTTTCCAAAGGAAGGACTTGTCGTTTCCTTCAGGCTCTTCTAGCTGTTGTTGCTGAACTATTTCTTCCATGTCTGGTTGTATCTGAACTTCTTCCTGTGGAGTTTTGTACCTCATCTGCTGGCATTTCATATATTCCGAGACCGTTTTCAACAAGTCCCTATTTAAGTCATTCGCATTCATAAGCCTCTGTTCTTTCGTTCCGTCTCTATTTTTTACGCGTTTTCATGAAGATAGTTGAATCATCATTAGCTCTGACACCAAATATCTCGGAGTAAATTCGTTCATGTCATTTGGATGATATGCTATTAAATCATATCCCTTTGCGAGCTTGTATTTTCCAGGTTTGAAATTATATCCGATTTGGTGTTGAGCCATAAAGCTAAATAGGTTCGGGTCAGTATTTCCTTCATTGAACTTTCTAATAGCTTCTTTATATCTGTCACTAAAAGTCAATAGTATCTGGGTAACCATAGTCTCTTTTAAGCATTTTTAAGAATTCTTGGTTTCCTTGTTCTCTACTTTCTTTATGTCCTTGCTCTGTGTTTGGAGGTGGTTGTTGTGCAGGGTTTTGAACTGTTGGTTGTTGTGCAGGTTTTTAACTGTTGGTTGTTGTGCTGGTTGTTGGAGGTGGTTGTGTTGCAGGGTTTGAACTGTTTGTTGTTGTGCAGGGTTTTGAACTGTTGGTGTTGTGTTGGTTTTGGTGCATGCCTGTGTCTATGTCCATGTGACGATGTAAATGTTTTAGGTAGTCCTGGTCAGGTGCTTCTCTTGGAGGGTTTGGTGGTATATAAGTTCCACCAGCTGGCACATATGTCCATTCTGCAGCGTAATGTCCTACCTGACTTTTCGTCTTTAAGAAAGCATTTACTAGGTCTGTTTTGGTCTGTTTTAACTCTTTTCTTTGACTTTTCACAACAGTTGCTCTAACGCGTCATAGGCACTTTGAACTGCCTGTCTCGTTGCTGCATCTGTTATTTTCGTCATATTTTTTGCTACTTCTTTAACTCTTTGTCGAAACCTTCAAGCTTCAGTTTCTTTCCAGATGAGAAGTCGTTCACTTGTTCACCTTACTATGAAGAGCTTCGAAAGCGTTCTTAAAGTCAGCATTTGTTAAAGCTTCATTTGAACTATCTTCATGCGTTGTATTTTTGTCCTTATTGACCCTATGAGTTGGGCTGCTTTAGCGTTGGCTTGGGCATCTAACCAGTCATTGTTAGCTTTATAATTCTGCGCTCTTCATTGCTTTTGCATAGCCGCGTCGTTATTTTTACTTTCTTGTGCTAAGTTTTCATACTGTACGGTTTGGTTTTGCAACTGTTAAAGTTTTTCTGTTTACATTTGCTTCAACTTCTTTTTATACTCTCGTATCCATATATGTCTTCAGGCTTTTTGTTTTATCTCTTCATCTTCAGTATTTTATATTGAGAGTATGGTTTTTCAAATTATGACATCTTGTTCCATTTTGCTACTTCTGCTGCTTTTCTGACACTTTTTTCGCATATTCCTCTGTACTTAGTTCTTTCAGTGTTCTTCTTCTTCTTTTTCTCTACGTTTAACTCATTGAGTTTCTTTGTGTGTCTGTCATATTCTAGTTTCTTTCGTTTTCACTTATTGTTTCTGTATGTCTATGTTTGACTTTTTGACATCTGATATTTGATTTTTGAGTGAACTCAAATTCATTTGACTTTGAGGGTTATAACTGTCCGTCTGCAGCTCCACCATAGCCGTCCATTTTCGCTAAAAGTGCCGCTCTTAAACCTCCACTTTGTGCACCAATAACTCGGTTTAAAAGCATAGGGTTGCTTGACATTTGTTGCAAATAGTGGGTCATTCATAATTTGTGTTTGCAACTGTTGTTGTGGTGTTAGTTTTACTATTGGATGTTTCAATGCTCTCTTCCTCTTACTATATTCTTACGTACTTACGTGGCATTTTAAGTGAAGTTAAAAAGCGGCTTTTGACAGATGTTTATATGACACTTCTTGTTCAGCACAAAAAACTACTCGGTCAAAGTGTTGTCAGGTTTGTAAATAACCGTCCATCTCCGTGCCTGTATGAGCGAAATCATGAAAATTCAAGAGGTGAGAAAAGAGGTTAGAAAAGGATATACTAACCTTCTACCCTAAACATTATTTTTGTCTGATTTTACGAAGAAGTCTTGACAAAACATTTACGAAGAAGTCTTGACAAAACATTTACGAAGAAGTCTTGACAAAACACTTCGAAGAAGTCTTGACAAACATTTACGAAGAAGTCTTGACAAAACATTTACAAGAAGTCTTGACAAAACATTTACGAAGAGTCTTGACAAAACATTTACGAAGAAGTCTTGACAAAACATGAAACATATATATTTATAAATGTGAAATTATAATTTTTCGACCAAGAAGACTAACAATTTTCCGAATAAAAACTTCATTTATACTAAACATCTTCAGGCGTAACGCGCCTGGAAGCCCTCCGAATAAAAACTCTTATATCTAAACATCTTCGGGCGTGAAAGGCACGAATCTCTGGAAGCCACCCCCAAAAAAAAAAAAACTTCATTATACTCATTCATCCTCAGGGCTAGAAGGCACGAGTGCCTGAACCCTATTTTTTTTTTTTTTTTTTTTTTTAAATATTAATTCATTTTGGTATAATTATTTTATATGGATTTTAATAAACAGTTTTAATGTTTTGTAAACTATTCAATTTATGGGACCCTATCCTTTCGTTTCTAAAACAATGAATAGGAAGCATTTTTGGTGAGATTATCTATTGAATTAATATTATCATACTATATACGAATAGAATTAAAATATGTTATGCTATAATTATGCAAGAAAAATTCGAAATCGATTCTAATTTGTAAAATAAATTATACGTTGATGCAATGAAATAATATATTTAGTAAATATCTATTGATACAACAGCAAATCAAGTCTATGTATTTTTTTTTCTGGCGTTAAGGGTCCACTGTAAAAATTGAAAGTCTCTCAAAATTGAGAGGCGATTTGCAAATAATCGTTATCGTCTTTTTTCGAAAATCCACTTTTCCTAGTGTTCTGATTAATATTTTGTGAATGTAACAATAAAGTATATGTTTTAGTAAGATGATAATACATTCTATCACTTCAAATCACATAAAAATTGCAAAATCAGCGAGTTTTATAAGAACATGATTTTTTCGAATTTTTTTGCTTCTGGATGCGTGTTTTGAAAAATAGATATTTTCGAATTTTGATTTTAATTTAAGTATAAATTTTATATTAGGAATTTTTTGACCTATTTCCAATCATTAATTCCTAAGTTTTTCTAGGAATTTAATTGAGAAGAAATTAGGAAATTCGCTTTAATGCCATTACATCCTAATATTGTGATGCATGTAGTTTATATTTATTGAGGCTAATGCCGGAATATCGTGCATTTTATAAAAAATTCAAAGAATTGACAATTGGATAGCACAAATTTAATTCTCTAGACAAAGTATTATTGTTTATATATTCAAAGCATTATCCTTCGTTTTGAAATGTTGGCCAAAAATTTTCGTGTTATTTTTGGGAACAGGACAAATTTGCCACACGGCACTTTTTTAAAAAAAATTAATGGAGCGGAGCGATACTCTGCTGCAGGAGCCCCAAGGCTCCCAATCATTACGAAAGGGAGCCTCAGGGCTCCTGAGAATCCATCAGCAGAGGCCTTTTCATTTGGCCTCTGCTGATCAAAGATTCGGCGAAGCCAATTCTCGTCTCAGGAGCCCCAAGGCTCCCAATCATTACGAAAGGGAGCCTCAGGGCTCTGAGAACCATCAGCAGAGGCCTTTTCATTTGGCCTCTGCTGATCAAAGATTCGGCGAAGCCATTCTTCGTCTCAGGAGCCCCAAGGCTCCCAATCATTACGAAAGGGAGCCTCAGGGCTCCTGAGAATCCATCAGCAGAGGCCTTTTCATTTGGCCTCTGCTGATCAAAGATTCGGCGAAGCCATTCTTCGTCTCAGGAGCCCCAAGGCTCCCAATCATTACGAAAGGGAGCCTCAGGGCTCCTGAGAAACCTCTTTGAGAAGGTTTTCTTAAAGAAAACCTTCTCAAAGATGATTGTCAGCATTCACTCAAAATCTACCAAGAGTTTCAAAGTTTCAAATCTATCTGAAATGAAGCTTTGAATCTCTTGTATATCTAATTGTAGAGGTACCTTTTCAAAATGTCTTCTATTGATTAAATTTAATCAGTAAAAGTCATTTTGAAAAGGTACATCTCTATAATTGCTATTGAGCATTCACTCTTGGAACCTTGGAGCTCTTGTGTAGTGCATGAAAACTCCAAGATTCTAGCATAAAACATATATCATAGACATAATTTCTTCAAATATAATTTAAGGTTATTTTTAAAAAAAATAGAAAAGCGTAATTTAAGGTTATTGAAAAAGTGACACCTGGCAAATTTGTCCCGCACTCGTTATTTTTTGTGTTTCAGCATAAATTATGTATTGACTTATGAAAGATAAGCATTTTATTCATTATCATAAAGATATACCAAAACAAATTGATAAAATTTTAAAAAATGTGTATTTTAGTGGGTATTATTCTGGCCAATGCCCATTTTTAAACGATTTAATATTGACCATATCAATAGCCGACTCAATGTAAAAATTTAGATATTATTTTTTTCATTATTCAAACTTTGATAAATTTTAGTATAATGAATGATTTTGTTTCGTGTATGATACAGAAATGAAAAGCTTGATTAATATCATTTTGCATTTTTTCAAGAATGTTAGAGTACATCTACATTAAAAAATCGGATTCGAATTGCGATACTGCATCAAATTGTTGCACATCTGATAAGGATCTCAAAAGAGTAAAGTTAATTTTTTTGTGTTTTTTAAGTTTTGGGCCTTAGTAAAAACACCATCTTGGGCAATATTTTTGGGACGACGATAGGCCTTATTTGGCCTTACAATGGACCCTTAAAATTTTAACCGTTTCTCAACTAAAAATATGAGTCATCTCGATACAGGTGATTCAGGAACAACAATTGATACTCCAACTAATACTCAAGAGACATACTCAACACAGAAATCAACACATACCAAAACAAGAATTCGTATTCCGAAAAAATTAAAACAGCAAATCGAAACTTATAGCACAGAAGGTGGTCAATCTTACACGCAGTACTCTGAATACTCAGTAACACCTAGTTATTCTAATACTTATGGATATTCTGCTACACAAAATTCAAATCAAACCGGATATTCTGGTTATACACCAACCTATGGTCCAACAGGAACATATAGCTATACAGGTACCACAGGCTATTCTGAAAACCCTTCACAGACTCAATCTTATTCTTATTCTCAAAACCCAACGTATTCATACACAAATACAACAGGATATTCATATTCTCAGACCAATCCAACATATTCCTATACAAACCAATCCGGATCTCAAACAAATCCTTCTTATTCTTATACAGCTTCAGAAGGAGCCACAGGAACAGGAAGCTACACATACTCAAAGACAGGAACGCAAAATGCATCTAACACATACTCAAAAACAGGCACAGATCCAAACGGAACAAATTCATCATTTTCATACACAGTTTTCACTTCCAATCCGATCTCTACATCCGAAGTCGAGACTAGCGTTGATGCTCCTTCAGTTACATATACTACAGATGACTCAGTTACTAAGCGTGTCCGCGTAAAAGTTCGAGTTCCCAAAAAAGGTGACCAAAAAACGATGAAAAGAGAAGCAGCAAGGGTTTTAATGCACCGAAACGGAGCAGTTCTTAACACAGATGTACATGATGAGTCCGTAGATGCTGTTTCACTTGATCCTGCCGGTACATCTGATTTATCTACATTAGATTTGCCATCAGCCATGGAAGTCCCATACATAGAGACAGTCAAACCAGTCAATGCAGTCAAGAAACCTAAGTGGGATGACGAGGATGACTCAACATTGACCCAAATGGCCCCAGAACCTCAAAAATTTGGCCGACCACTTATCGGATCACGATTTCTTGGTCGTAATCAGCTTTCTTCCAGTGACGATGAGAGTCAGACTAACATAGATACGATCACTACACAAGATGAAACATCTGAATCCACAATTCCGACTGTCATGAACAGAGAAGAGTTCCAAGAGCGATTTTCAGCCAAATCGCGATCCGTTGCTGCTGTTCCTGCTGCAGAGGACGGCGGCTTTGCGCAAGCGGAGATGGCCAGGCAGCGTATGGAAGAGAAGATGGCCAAGAAGCAAGAGTACAAAGCTAAAGTTGCTGAAGCCATCAGGAATGGCGAATCTCCACCTCCAACCTTGACAACAACAGCAACAGACGAATTGAGCACATTGGAGAAAGACATCAGACTTGAATTGGAGATGCAACAGTACGAGGAAGACATGAAGAAGAACCAGATGACAAACGAGCAAAGACAAGCATTGTTCCCTGCTTCTCGTCGTGGAAAGTTTGTTAAAGAGAATCCTAAGAAACTCATGTTTGCTTCTGACTCTGATTCCGTTGAAGAAGACGATCTCAATCCAAATCCAGTTGTTTTCGAAGTAGGAAACAGCTACAACCGCACGAATATTGCACAGATCTCCAAGGGAATGGGATTGTTCGACAGCATGAAACCGATGAAACTGGAAGACATCAAGACATACGAACCAGACACAGGCGAATACAATGCATTGAAAGAAGCCGAAGAAGCAAGAAGACAAGCAGAAATGGAGAGGAAAATTGCAGAGATGAGGAAGATGAAGGAAAGAGAAATTTCTACAACAGATACATATGAAACTAATTTCTCTACAACTACATCTACAGAACTTGCAGAGATTTCACCTCAATATCTGCCAAAGAAACAAGGTGGAATTCCTGAAAAGGCATACGAAAGAAATCCTGCAGTTAAATTCCCTCCGCCTCCTCAATTCGATCCTCCTAAGAAGAATCGTCCATCGAGAGGTTCAAGGACAGCAACAACAACAACAAGTACAAATGAGTCCGCAATCATTGAAGAAGTTCATGAATATTTCACTAACACTGATTCGAATAATTCATCAACACCAAATCCAACAGTTTTAGTGACTGCAAACTCTTCTTCCGCTGATTACGTTGAAGCTCCTTCCAATGCACAGAACGCAATGAACTACGTGGAAGTAACTCAAACAAATACAAATACAAACACCCATGAGGAAGATAATAAGAAGAAACAGAGACCAAAGAGAGGAAATAAAAATTCTGGACCTCCTTCTTATACTTCCAATAATTTGACAACAGTTACAGAACTAAGAACAGCTAATCCGACATCGGCCGATTTCGTTGAAGCTTCTGCAAACCAGAATGGAGAATTGTACGTGGAAGTACCAGCTTCAACAGCTACAAATGCTGATGATTTGACCACTGGACACTCTGAATATGTAACTGCAACTTCAAATGCAACTGGATCTCTTTACGTAGTCGATACTGACGGAGCAAGGACGGAATCAACTTATACTTATATAACTGAGGAAGAAGAAGATATCGAGGAAGAAGAAATTATTGAAGAAGAAGAAGTTGCAGAAGATGATGCTTAAAAAAACTTTTTTTTAATTAAAAATTTTATTGTTTGTTTGAAATTTAATTTTTTTTAAGGATGTACTGACCACTATCTAACATGCTCTCATAAAACCAATATATCTTTTCTGTAATAGAAAAGATAGTCTCTATATTATGTACTATGTAGTGATTTATAAAAACTTTTTCATAACCAGCTTTCTTATATAATGCTTGCTAATATCAACTTTGAAATTTGGACAATTTTACTCCTAAGTCTCAAGTTAAATTTCTGATGATCTATTCTATCAATATGAAGCCTTTTTTCAGGCAGGAAATTGTGAAGTGAATATCCACGAACTTCTTCTATTGCATGATATAGATATCAATAAAACAAGCGAATATGGAATAACAGCTCTTCATGATGCAGTATATTATAATGAAAAGGTTGAATCCGTATTTGTCGATGAAATATCTAGGAGACAATTATTTAACTGAAATATTATGCACTGAACTGAAAATAAAGATGTAACTACTTTTAATGATGATATTAAAATGTAGGAACAGTTCTTAGACATGAAATCTCATATTCTATACATGAAAAAGTTGCAAAAGTCAAAAATTGAGGGTATTTTCAACAATTAATATAATTTCTATATTCTATACATAAAATTAATAATATTCTCCGATTTATTTTTTCATTGGTTTCTTCAAATTATTCCAAATATCAATTTTTCTAAAAAATAAAAAATTAAAAAAAATTAAAAATGATAAAAAAAAACTCAAAAATTTCTTTATTTTCTAATGTGGAATTTGTTTCTTATTTTCCTAAGGTGATTTTGACAAGTAAGTATCACCAACATTCTACCTTTTGTGCCTCATACTTACACCCAGAGTTTCAAGCCAATACGCATGTTAGAATTTTGTTGGACTACCTTTAAATCATGTTACTTTTTGTTCGAATAAGCTAGAAAAGGCCTTGCAATTTACAGCGTGAAGATATAAACCCTTCATGAGTGTTAAGTTCAAAAAATTATTATAATAATTAAATTTATGGACTCATGTGGCCACGTTTTCACCAAAGCAAAACAAACATATAATGATTTTATGATATAAGTTCATTCAAATATATTTGAGCGAAATAAATTAAAATTCTATTTCAAAGATCATTACGTAAAATATAAGACAAACTTTTATTCATAGAGGACTTTTAGATATATAAAAAACAAATTTTGAAAGTAAAGCACAAATTTTAAGAAAATATTGGAACATGAATGGATTTCAATAAGACAATAGATCAGTGTGGTACTTGGCATGATTGGAACTGAAGTCTGGTTCATAAATGAAGAGAATTTAAAATTAAAATTTAAATTTCTTTGAATTTTTTGAGAACATTTATGGTTATTTGTTTTGCAAAGCTCGTACAATGAATTCCTCTTCCAAAAAGTAATAATTAAATACCAGATGTAATTAATCTCTTCAGTTTCTCTCTTTGTGCATTCAAATCGATAGAAGTATCAGTAATAACGCTATCAAACTGCTCCTTTGTCATGAATTGTCTCTGTTCCTCTTCGATCCGAGCATATTGAAGTAATTCTGGTTCGAAAGACTTGAATTCCTCATTGGAAGAGAGTTCATCATAGTGTGTTCGTACGTATCTCAAAAGAGTTTGAATTCCTCGTTTAAATTTCAAACCCAATTTAATTGCAGGAATTATAATGGTAGTAGTAAGAGTATTGTAGAAGTAACTCTCTGTAGCATCGATGAGTGACTGAATTCCTAAGCAAACGCCCATTTGGAAGAAGAAAACTGGATTTTCATTAATTTGAACTGATTTTCCTGATAAAATGTCTACAACGCTTGCAAATGGACCTTCAATGTTTTCAACATCAATCTTAGATACGTTTACATCCAATTTAATTTCATCTTGAATTAATTCAGAACATGATGCAGCAATGTAATAAGGAACAGTATATTCTTGATGATTGTGAACTAATGTGATTGTCTTGTTGATGATATTATCAACTCTAATCGATTCTTCAAAATTATCTACGTGATTTTGAGGTAAAATTGGGAATTTATGAGAATAATAGAGTCGTGAGTTAATTTCACAACATGGCTTTTCAAGAAGGAATGCATCAATCATGTCCTTCTTCTTCAAATTAATAAAGAACAATTTTCCGTATGTTGTCTGTATATGTTCTACTGTGTCGATTTCGCAATCAATAAGCGTATGTAAAACATCTTCGCATGTAGTATATTTAGTCTCGCCGAAGAGAACAATTCCACAATTATTTTGGATGAATTGCTCTGTTTGAGTGAATTGCAAAATTTTGCCTCTAATCTTGTAAATTGACTCACCACTTAATGCCTGCATAACACCTTCTTGTGTTGTCTGTATGATAAATAATGGAAAGAAATATTCTGTGTTCATAAATGTATCAACAATAGGATAAATACTAAGAATTGGTACAGGACCGCCTATTTCTCTTCTGATCTCGTTCTCAGTCGTAAAGGGGTCTAGATTTGATATAATCAACGATTTTTCCATTTTTTGTTTTATATCACAAGTCAAAAAGTGACAAATCCCGATGCAATAAAATTTTATATCATTAATCTTTCATTAGTTTATGTGGCATCTTTTAGTGCATGGTTTATAAATATTGATATAAAATTCACATATTCATGTAAATGTGATCAAAATGATGAAGCTTTATGGAAAGTTACTGTACTGCATCCATATCTTGGCTTATCACAAGTTAGTTATTATACTAAGCATTGATATATCCCATAATACTTTATGAATATCATCTGGTCATCTAGAATAATCAGGATAAATCGTTGATTTTTGTGCACTTATAAATAGTGATCTTATTGCAACATATTTTGAATATAAAATAGAAGTAGTGTAGATGGCATCGTTCGCATCGATTTTGTCACTTTTTGAGATTTTATTCTTTATAAATTCATGAAAAAAGTCAATTGGGATGAAATTAATAGATTTATAAAAAATGACTGCTTACAAGTCATCTCATATGGTTTCAATCCATATGATTTTGCTGTGGAAAATTGGAATAATGGCACAAATGCAGGTTTTAATGTCGATGATTTACTTAGACAGTCTCAAACATTTGCGTTACAGATCGCAGATGAATATGCAGTTCCTCTCGAAGTTAATGCAAAAACATATACAAAGAAAGCAGAGTTAAGGAAAGAAATTGACGATTTTCTGACAACCAAAAACAGAGTCATCGAAAAAACCAGAGCAAGATTTACAATTGATCCAGAAGATCTTAAACAAAAATGGCTGAAAACAGTTAAACTCGAGAAAGAAATAGAATTATTTGAACAAGTTGAGAACCTTGTTACTGTTTCTCGAATTGTTTACTCGAAAATAGAGCAAGGTAAGCATGATGAGGCTGTCAGACACATATGCGAAGCATTACAAATCTATTCAGATCGTAATTTTCATCAAATTGAATCTCTGGACTCAGTGAAAGAAGGAATCGACAAAGCAAGAAGCGATATGGTTGGACATGTTATGAATTCATTATTCTCATTACTCTTCATTAAGCAAAGACTTCCAGGAATTTCATTTTTCAGACCATATCCTCATTCTGAAATCAGAATTCCTCGTGTTGATACATCACAAATCGAAGAATATACAATCCTCCTCATCCGTCTTGAAATACAAAATGATTTCTTCACTCAATTAAGAGAAACAGTGAGAGATCGTCTTGCTCTTCTCATGTCTGAAACAGCAGAGTCCATAAAAGTACAAAAGATCAGACAATTCGCACAAAGTAAAGATGGATTTGAAGAACTCGTTGACATTGCAAACAATTATAACATGTCTCATCCACTTGTCATGTTTATCGACCAATTATTATCTAAAATGTGGGTTCTCATGTCAAGATGTAAGGCTTTCGATCAGGTTTTCTCCGTGGAAAATACAAATGGTGTCGCATTTGCAAATGCTTACGCCGATGTTGATGAATTAATCAGAGACATTGTCACTGCATTTACAAGTGTCCAAGGAAGCAAAACAATGTACACAGCAAACAAATTATCATACAAATTTTTGTCATCTGAAACTGCCCCTCAAAATTCAACGGCATCTCAACTCAGATCCGAATTAGGAATTAAGCCATGTTCAGCAAATTCATTACACATCTTCATGATGCTTGACGATTTCAATTCTTGCTTGAAAGAGAAATATAATATTTCTTATTCTCAACTTTCCAACAAGATGACAATTGATTTAGATGTTAAGAAGATATTTGCTGACCAAACAAAGCTTATTTCAGATTCAATTGATGTTTCAAGACCTGTCAAAATTGAAGCTCACCCAGTTCCTGTATTAATCTCCACTCCTTTGTTACTGGATAACATAGAGAAATACGGAAAGATCGCAGGAAGGTTCACTTACCTTCAAGACATGATTATTAGTTTTATGATCCAATTCTTGAAGGCATTTATATCACGTTGTCTGAATGAAATAGGTCATGTCAAGTCTGCTGAATCTCAGGAACAGATTCTTTCCTCAAGAATGCTTACAAACGACAAAGATATTGTTTTGAAATATCTTGGAAAGACAATTACAACCGAACTTGTTCTGAAAGACAACATGGGAGACTATGAAGATAATATTAAAGATCTCTCGCAAATGGAAGAACAAAATGAACTTGATCTTGTTGATAAAAGTCAACCTCTCACAATAGAAAACACAATTCGCGAAAAGTTCTGTCTTCCAACAATTGCAGCAACAGCAGAATCCATTGTTGTCATCAAGAATTCATTAGAAAGTTTGTTAATTTCTCAAAAGTATACTGATTCTAACAATAGTGTCATCAGATCTCTTATTACAAAGTTAGAACAAACACTTGTTCGCGCAATGATCTTTATCAGATTAGAAATGAGATGCAGAACTTATGTTGATATAATTCAACCACTTTTGAATGGAAATTACACACCATTGTCATCACCAACAAAACCAGATCAATACGTTACTGATTTCATCTCAACTTACAACAGTTCTACAGATAACATCGGAAATTGTTTGACACCAGCAAGGAATTCATTTGTTTTCATCGGAATTGCACGATTGGTATATAATATCCACATTAGATACGTTCCACGAATTAGAGAAATATCAGATAAAGGTGCAGCACAACTTACAATGAATCTTTCAGCTCTTAATCAACATCTTTCATCAATTCAGTATCCAGAGCAATCCATATACAAGAAAGCTCTTGTCTTTGTTTCAAACATCTCATATTCAACAGATCGTATTCTTATGCAGATTGCCCAGCAGAAGGACTTGTTCACATACGAAGAAATGGAACCAGTATTTAACATGCAACAGAAGATGAACGAACGTCACGCAGAAAATCTTGATAAGCTTAGACAGCTCTTGAAGAAATGATGATACTAACATTTATACTTATATTTGTTTGTCAGAATCCTATACATTTGTAAACTTTCTGACACTAAATTTATGTAATTTATTATTTATTGTTTGATATTATTATAAACAAAATAGTCAATAATTAAAGGAAGCTTCCGAACAAACCGCTCAATCTCTTTCGTGCTTTATTTTTATTGTAGAGTGTCTGGAAATAAAAATAACCCCTTGGCGTTAGAAAAAAAAAAACCTTTGTAATAACATGTAATGACAATGTCTCCCAGAATGAAACATTGTGACCAACAAGAGTGCATAATACACTCTTGTCGGTCGAAGTTTTGCAATCGTCTTCTGATTGCGGAAGATTGACTCATTCTTGGAGATATACAGTGTAATATCCTCTAGAATGAATTAACCCTTCAGCCGCATTTCAACTTTTTATTCACAAATTTCATATTTATTTAATTCTTCAAATTCTTACATATAGACGCAAAATTGAGAATTCAAACAAACATTTAATATAACAAATACAAATAAAAAACAAACAATATATAAAAACTAATAATTTTCTTCTTCATTTAAATATTCTTCTTCAAACTCTTCTTCGGCTTCATTTAGATTAAACGGAGGAAAAACTGGAAGTTTGAAACAAACAATTATATTATTTCCACTTAATGAAGCCGTTAAAATTGCTTCTGGAAATGATGAAAGTGGAATTACTTGAGCTTGTACTCCAACTTTAACAAGAATGTGTCCGTTGACATCTATACGATTTGTATCCATCTTTACAATGGATTTATATTCTGGATTTTTGGAAATTTCAAATTTAACTTGTTCAAATGGGAACAAACTCATATTTGAAAGTGTTAACTGGATCTGTGCAACATTGCTCATCTTATCAGTACCGTATTTAAGCTTTCCTGATACATGAATAAAATTATCTAAATATAAAACGCCTTCATTGGTAAAAAAGAATCTTTTAATGAGCAATTCTTCCTGTATTGATCTGTCTTCCTCTTCATGATGCATTACCTGGTCAATTTCGAAGTTTGAAGGAACATTTACCTTTAATAAATTCAACATATCATTTAAATCTTTCTCTGAGAAGTCTTTTGGCATTGATTCAAATATAGACTTAGATGAAGGTGTTGTCTGTAATGTAATAAAGCATTCAGAGGCTCTTTGTGAAACTTCTGGATTCGGGTGTCGAAGATTCTTAGATAAAAACTTAATTGTAGCATCGTAAATGTCAACACATCTTGTTGTAATCCTAGTGATCATGGTAATGATCATTGATTGTACAAGAGAATCTTGGTATCCAAACCGACTAACAAATAATTCAATAATTGGGATTGGTTTGGTATTAACATACCTTCCACATAAGAAAATGGTTAATTTCATTAATGAAACAGATGGCTCTGGTGTCTTTTTGATAAAATCAATCAAATCATCGATAATTTTTTCAATTAATGGCTCTATTTCTTCACATTTATCTGCAGTGGTCTGCCATATTGAATCATCAGTGAATTTACCGGCAATTTTCATCAAATTGATATTTGTCAGAACAAAAAACTCTGGATCTGCTGTTTCGATGCTTAATATCTTAGGAACTGTGCAGCAAAGGACTTTTCTGACGTCAAGAGGTGCTGCTTGGATGTAAGACATGAATTCTTCGGTCATTTCTTTGTAATTTTGTTCATTGGACATTTGTTCCATCAAATAAACGGCCAATTTAGAGACATTGATATCGGTGCATCTCATGGCTGCAAATAAATTTGACAGAGAGTTCTGAATACTCGATGCAAGTTGATGAGTCGTTTTAACAATATGTAGCAGTGTATCTATAGCGAAACTGAGAACGTTGACCCTTTTAGTCTTCAAATGACGTGCAATTGTTTGCGCGCAAAGGACCATTGAATCATATGTTAAAGGAACCATGGCAATCAAGCTCATTAACTCGTTGAGAACCATAAGATATGAATAGGCCTCACGGATCTTCAATGTTTCGCCAGTTCTACTAAAGATTGCAAGAGATACTTGTTCTAAACACGATTTTTCGTTTTCGCTCCACGAAGTTTTGAGTTTTAGCATTCTAAGAAGCTGTTTTGAGTACCATGGGGCTGGTGTCCCGTAATACATGAGATCACTGATATCTGTGCCATAAACAAACATTTTTAACAATTCTTTTAATGAAAAATCAAAGAATTGTGTAAATGTACCTGGATACATAGTCATTATTGACAAAACTAATGTAGATGCTGCTAACCGCATATTTGATTTCATTATCATATAATTTTCGAGAGCAGGAGTAATCATATCGATTATATCATTGTATGCGACACCTCGCATGACATATGATAGATAAAGCATAGCTTTTTTTCTTGTAAATTCTGAAGCTGTTTGGCAAATAACAATATTAGCGACTAAATTGATTACCTCGTTAACTAATTCAGGGTCTGCTAGTGAAGAAATAAATGAAAGTGCGTAACTTTGTAAAGTATCATTAGTAAAATTCATCAAATGTTGTTTTGCGACAGGAATAATCAATTTAAATGATGATGTAGTCTGTGAAAATATTAATGAAGCTGCTAAATATCCGATTCTCACATTAGAGAGTCGATGAGAATTTAATAAACGCATAATTTCTTTTGCTTCAAAGTCAATGTTAACACCAACAATGGTGAGAAAGGCCAATTTTGCGATAGGAAGGAGAACAGTCGATGAAGTGTTATCTTCTTTTAAAAATAGTTTCTTAATTTCTGTTAATTCCTTTTGAATTCTGGCTTTAACATTGGGGTGATGGCTAGGCTTTGATACACTACGAAGAAAATCCTTCATTTCTTTCGAATCCATCTAGTTTGTTCAAAAATGCGCCAAAAAAAAATTTGAAAAATTTTATAAAAATGAAGGGTGCACTTACAACTTTCTGACATGCTCTCAATTTTTTTGACATTCAAAATTTATCTACACCATAATGAATTTCGGCTCATGACTCATACTGTGCATAGCGTTTAAAAACCAAGTAACAGCAGCCTAACAATACACTCAATTTTTAACTTTTGCAACTCCAAAAATCAGATGTTTTTCCAGAACTACCATCTAGAATGAGTCTAAGGAGTTATAATTCTAGGGTTAGATGACACCCACTTAGTACTTTTATTTGTATATATTTTAATAGAATTTTGTGAGGGATCATGAAATTGGTATCTAATTTGCTATTATCTAAGCAGGTAAAAGTTAGAGAAAGCTATTTACTGGTTGTATATTACAAATATACCTTGTAATAGAAAATATAATAAAATATGTAAATTCGCTCAATTAGCTCGAAAGTGTGAATGCGTTTTATAATTGATGTTGATGCAAAATATTTCTTTATGTTCCTGAAAAACTTCGATGTTTCTTGATTGCAAAATTTAATTTTAAAAAACTAACAATTTCTTAACTAAAGAAGAACTATTTATGGTCAAATCCAAAATGTTCCATATTAAGTTCTGTCAAAATGTAAGCTATTCAATTCTATCGTCGGGGAAGTATCACAAATCTATCAATTTTTTTGTAAAAGTATACAAAAACATATGGTGTTCAATTAGTTTATAATAATATAAATATTAAGATTATCCAAAATAAGAAAAACTAGGTTTTGAGAACACTTTTGAGATGATAATCAAAATATTTTGATTGAAAAATAATATATTATTTATCAGATATCGAATGGATTTTTTCAAATTTAAAAATTCTGAAAAATAAACAGTTTTGTAAAGTAAAAAAAATGAACGAAAACTCGAGACCTCGTATTCCAAATGAATGGGTAAGATATATGTATGAAAAACTTGAAAGTGGTGAGTAATGATGTCAATTTGGAAGAAAAGTGAGAAAATTCCTAAAATGCTAAAAATGAATTTTCCAAACGTACTTTTTTATCGCATTTTTTTGATTTTGAAAAAAAATTTGGAGAGAAGAACTCTTCGTTTTTGAATTTTGTCACGATGGTTTTAAAGTATATTAGACACATGTATTGATATTACTATTTTTGTATATTTTGAGAGAAAATCCCTAAAAAGTGAGAAAATCTAAGACGGTTTGAGAAAATATATAAACTATTGAAATTTTGAATTAAACTTCTAATTTGGAAAAAAGAAATTTGGAAAGAAGAAAATTCAAAAATCGAGATTTAGACTCAGTATCAAATGGAGAACAAAATGTTTCTTCATATGAAGGAAAAAAATTTTCTTGTGAAGAAATAGAGTTTTTAAAATTTTATTGTATGTAATGAAATAAACAAATATTAAAATTATTTTTTGATAACAAGAAAATTCCCAATAGAAAATATTTGAGAGAAAGAAAAAAAGAAAATTGAAAAATATTACTCTTCTTTATATTTCATGAGATTTTAAATTTATTCTCATAAAATTGACAATTTTATACGTTTAGATGAAAATAAGTGATTTTGGTTGAAATAGAAATTATTATTTGCTTACAGCTATCAAATAGATTTTTGCTATTTTGATTAAAATTTGTTAATCAAATTAATAATTTTTTCTAAATATCTTAAATATCTGGATCACTCACATATACAATGAATTGAACGATAAAAATAATACAAACTCAACTAAGTTTCCTGTCTTTCAACTAAAAAAATTATGCAAATTAAATTAAATTGTTTATTCAAATATAAAACAAAGATGAAGTAATTACAGTTATCATAAACTTTATGAATAACTCTGTAATTGGTTCAGATTTTCGTAAAAATATTTTTATTAATATCGATAAGAATACGTTTACCTACTATCACAACATATCGATAAACAAGAGTAGAGTGATTTTTATCATCGAAACTTTTTAAAAGCTGTAAGCTGGAAGGAAAAATCTTGTTTTTTCTGAGTTAGTTGTAGAACTATTGATGCACGAGTTATCATTGTGATGTAGAAGGATGTCAATGTACTGACTGAAGGATATGAAGTGAATTGAATTTCATTGCATTTCAATTTGATCAAAATTTGTTGAAATGATATGAATGTGTCAACATCTGTATCACTCTCTTTCACTCCTTCCCTATTCTTTCGAGAACGAAGCTAGCTCAGCTTTCGCTGAGCGAATTGACACTTTTGATGTCCTAAACGTACATGCTCTCAAATTTATCGAAAAAAATTATACCACCTAAACTAGTATATTCTTATTTTAAATATGATATTATCCTTAGAATCCACACTAGAATATATTTAAATCAACTTTTAAAAAAGTTCGAATCCTGCGCGTCTCACTTTTTAAATTTTCGAAAAGGAAAATTATATTCTCCTAAAATGAAAACAATTTTCCGAATTGACATCCTTATGGTGAGTTAACATACGCAACAGTTTTGAAAAAAGTTCCATATTCTTATCAAAATGTTACAATTTTCAAACAAATTTCAAGAAATACTCTCAAAAAAGCATTCAAAGAAATCGGTGGTACACCAAAAATTAAAAGTGGTCCTCCACAAGAGGAATTAACTCCAGAATTAATTTTGAAGGTTCAGAATTCTTATGAAAATTACAAATGTGGGGTTCAAAAATTGTATTGGACTCTCAATATGAATCCAAAACAATTTCAAATCAGTTACAATGCAGTTATTAAGGCAGCAAAATTTCTGGGAATTTACAAAGAAAAAGATAAAAGTAATCCAAAAGCATATTATGTGGATTATGAAGCAATTCTTCCAAATACAATCTGGCATGTGGATATTCATTTTTTGAAAGAACCAGAAACTTTACCGGTTTATGGAATAATTGATGACAAAAGTCGTTATTTGTTAGCATTGAAATTGCTTCGTAACAAAAGTTCAACAGAAACTTCAAAAGTGGCAATTGCAACAGTTCAAAAATATGGAGCACCTTTCTGTTTCTGGTCAGATAACGGTAAAGAAAATGAGGGAGAGTTCACAAAATTTTTGAGTACTTATGACATTCAAATCAGAAAATCAGCTCCATACATGCCACGTCAAAATGGCAAAATTGAACGCCTCTGGCCATCACTGGACAAAAATGCTCCAAAGTCTTCAGAATTTGAGAGCATCAATCAGGAATTGGAAGAATTCAGGCAAAAATACAATGACATGCCACATGGCGCTCATCCAAAAATTGGAGTTCGACCATACACTCCAAGAGAGGTTTACAACAAATTTAAGAAATGGACCAAGGATGATAAACCGCTCTGGAAAAAATGTGTTAATAAGCAGTGGGAAGTTGAAGAGATTCCAAACTATTGAAATATTCTATATTTTTTTTCAAAAATTCTCATTCAAATTTGAATTTGGTTTTCAAAATTATGAATAAACATTATTTTTATTAAACTTGATTTTTAGCTCTGAAGAATCAAAAGAATTTAGCGAGAAAGAATATGCAGCTCACATAGGGGTAGATAAAGATATATCTCGAAAAAAATTGAATTTATTGTAAAGAATGAAGAAGTTCATTTTAAGATTGAGTTGATTTTCAACCAAAACGAGAGAGCATGCAGGCAAATGAAATTCGAAAAGTGAAAGGAATGACATATGCAAAAGAAAAGATTCAAATAACGCAAGCGAAATATAGATCAGTTAAAATCAGAATAAAATTTCGATCTTTTCTACAGGGAACTAAAGGCTATGAGGCACTGATATAAGGTCAGTGCCTCATAGCCTTTAGTTCCCTACTAAAAGTGAGAACACTTGTTCGCAATGCGAAATGATTGCGAACAAGTTTTCTCACTTCAGCGAGGGAATTGTTCCTTATGATGCATACATAATAATATATACATCATAAGGAACAATTCCCTCTAGATAGCTGGGAAACTTTCTCTAAGTAACTTATCATTTGGAGAAAGTTTCCCAGCTATCTACTGGGAACTAAAGGCTATGAGGCACTAATATATAATCAGTGCCTCATAGCCTTTAGTTTGTTATTAAAAACGAGAAAACTTGTTCGAAATGATAAACAATTTCGAACAAGTTTTCTCGTTTTAAGGAGGGAATTGTTCCTTATGATGCATACATTATAAATATATACATCATAAGGAACAATTCCCTCTAGATAGCTAGGAAACCCTAAATTAACTATTAATCTTTGAGATATTTTTTTTATTGAGGTTAATACGTTTTTCTAAATAATTAAAATGTAAAATTTTGATTGTGAACTCATCTCTAATATTTTGGCTCCTTAATATATTTGAATCATGATCTTTGAGAAGAGTTCTCAAAAGTATTCACAAAAGCTATTTTTCCTTGAAATTTAAAAATCCTGTTTATCATATATTACCGAATTCAATTCCCTACATATTTCAAAATATTCTATGAACATTTCAATTTTTGAAAAAAAATATATTTTTTCCAAATATATTTATTATCATATTTCTAATAATATTTCCTAAAGTGTCACTTTTTACTTCCTCGATGATTATTTCCCTCTCAAAAAATTCAATAGCCTACATTTTGACAGAACTTAATATGTAACAAAAAACAGATAGATTACCGAAAAAAATAAACATAAAATTTTTATATTTATTAAATACAATTATTTCGAAGATACTACTTGAATTTCATGTAACTCAAAAGTAATCTTCTTATTGTAGGGGTAAAACAAGTTACAAGTAATAAAAATCCAGAAATTTTATTACTGGTTGTGCGTGTGCACTAATATTTATTTGATAACTGTATGCCGTTCATTATTATAGCAGCTAATTTACCAGTTAACTATTGGGTAATGTCGATTTTTGATGAATTGCAATTCCTTTCCAAAAATTGGCAAGACGGATTTTTTTCATTTTCTACGAACTTATTATATATTTGTATGTGATTTATTTCCATGATTTTCAAAGAGAAAGCGCGGTCTCAAAAATATTTCATAAATTTAATTTTTTATGATAGAGATTTTCCGATAGGGTTATAAGTGTTTTCGAATTTTAGTAATCTTGGCTGATCAAATGATGAGAAAATTGATAGGTTGCAAAAAATCAAAATATGTTCTTTTTTGTAAAGTTTAGTTCATGCAACAAACATTGAATTCTCTTAAGAGTGTGCTAATGCTTTGCTTGCTCTAAAATCTTGATTATATTCAAAGGGTATTACGAGTTGTGAAGCTAATAAATGCCCCTTGATTTTTTGAAAATTTATAAACGTCATCAAATTAATGCTTGACTATAAAGTATCATCTGATGATTTATCCTTCTCATTATCAGCATTTTCCTCACCACAAAAAGATGATATTCCATTTGATGATGATATCGCGAAAGCTTTACAATATCTTATACACATAAAACAACTTTATCCTGATGTCCTTAATAATTATCATAATTTTCCCATTTGCCCAATAGATGTGATTCAAAATAACCAATCCCGCGTTGATTTGTCAACTTATATTAATTCCCATATGCTTTCGGATTTGATTGCAATTTTGAAATCAGAAGAATGTATTGATCGTTCCGAGGTTCTCGAAATCATTTATAGTCTAACACAGTTTGAAATAGTCCTTGAATTTCTTAATGAACAAGATATTATCAACCACCTATATTCAATTGCATTAAGTCAAGATTATTCCCAAAAAGACAACTATATCGCAATTAGGATCCTCACAAGATTACTTCCTCATGTTGAATACAATGAAATATATTTAACAGATCACCCAATCGATGAATTCCGTTTTCTTAGTGAACCAGATGAAGTCGTTCCACTATTCGCCAAATTAATAGAACTTAATCCAAATCAAGATAATTTTAGATCAATAGCTCAATTTATTTACGAAAAAACAGAATTTGATTGCTATAAAGACATAGTCATGATGTTGAAAAGCATTCTACCGGTTTATCCAGAAGAGATTAACTTTCTTATCGAGCTGCAGGCAATCGATAAACCATGTTTCTTCAGAAGGCTCGCATCACGTCTCTTTCGCTTTGATGATGATCAAAAAGACGACATTGTGAGCATGATGGGCTTAATGGAAGCTTTAATTGTTCCTTTAACGAGCAATATCAAGATCAACGAAGAAGTAATTTTAATTATTCACGAAAGCCAAATGGCTTGGAATGCCGCTAGATATTTCATCTCCACAATGTGTGATGATGACTCTCAGTGCAGTGCCATTCATTTCTTAGAGGTTTGCACTTCTCACGATATTTTACATAAAGACGTACTGAATGCAATCACAAAGTGGAATTTTCCAGTTGTTGTTGAGGTGTCTGACGATTGCGAATTTGAGCAAAAGATACATTTAATTGTAATTATTTCTAAAGTAATACAATATCGTGGGTATAATGCAGCAGAGATAGCTATTAAGAGTGGCATACTAAGATTGATAAGTTCTTTCATTCCAAATTACATCCAATATGCTTTGAATGCTCTTGACATTCTTATTGAAAACTACGTTGAACAAGATCAAGGAAAAACCATCTATGATATTATTTGTAAAACTAGTATCATCCAAGATTTGGAAGATGCTTCAGAAAATAATGACAATGAAGACGACTTCGAAATGATTATTAATTTTATCAATAATTTCAACAACTTGGCAAATAACTGAGTAAAGTTGTTGAAATTTCAGATTGTTGATAGATAGTTTTATGTATATTCTATCCAATTTGAAGTGTATCATTAAGCAATGACATTTTATTATCTTTGATTTATGTCTTTCAAAGTGAAGTCTCATAATTGACTATTATTTCTAATAATTTTTTTTGGTTATGGCTAAGATAAATACAAATCCTGACGCCAATTCACTATCAAGATTTTTTTTTCAAATACCCTCAATTTTTAACTTTTGCAACTCCAAAAACCATCTAGGATGAGTTTCAGGAGTTATAATTCTAGGGTTAGATGATACCCACTTAGTACTTTTATTTGTATATGTTTTAATAGAATTTTGTGAGGGGTCATGAAATTGGTATCTAATTTGCTATCATCTAAGCAGGTAAAAGTTAGAGAAAGCTATTTACTGGTTGTATATTACAAATATACCTTGTAATAGAAAATATAAGTATTTGTGATTTAAATTGGCTCAATTAGCTCGTAAATTTGTTTTATATCCATGACAAACTAACACAATCCTATTTATGTGATTGCCAATCTGTTCCCAAAATATATCAGCATGAATTGGGAACAACCTCTATTTGTCATAATTAATTCGCAACTAGATTATAATTGCGCAACAATGTCTCATTCAGTGAAATATACAGTGACAATATCTCCAAGGATGATATATGCAGACATACAAGATTGCATACAACACTCTTGTCGACCAAAGTCCCCCAATTAGATTCCGTTTTCAAAATAATAATTACTCAAATCAATTTTAACAAGGTAAAATAAAGATGTTTGTATATCAGTGTGTAAAAAAAAAAAAAAAAAAAAAGGTAGTGGGGCTTCCAGGGGCTGCGCCCCTTCTAGCCCTGAAGATGTTTAGTATAAATGAAGTTTTTATTCGGAAAAATTGTTAGTCTTCTGGTGTGAATTCGGAGGACTCTTCTTCTTCAACATCAAAGTCATCTGGTGTATCGAACTGAATGTATGAAAGCCAAATGTTGTATGTGTTTTCCAATTGGCTTTCAAACTTGAGATACATTCCATGCATGAGTGTTATTTCAGTTTCAACGTAGAGTTGCTGATGTGGCTTGAAGACATGCATGAGAATTGGTCCTCCAAATTCGTCCTTGAAAAACTTGCAGTAGCAAACATAAACTGAGATAGAGTCTCCTTCTTCAATGTCTTCTGCTTGGTTAACGAAATGAATAGCAATTTTGCGTACTTGAATTGTGTTGTTGTCTGAGTAAAATAATGGTTTGAACTTGGGGTTGAGTGAGCTAAGACATTGCCATTTTGCTGTTTCTTGTCCGTACTCACGTTCTTCTTCGTCATCCTGATATCCGTAACTCTTTGATTTGAATTCGACCCAAAGCTGTTCGACTTTTTTTGCAGCTTTGGGTGGAAGACTTTCAATAAGCTGACATATAGTTCTGTCAACCATTATCTTTGTTATTGTTGGAAAATAGTTGACAATTGTGTCACCTAATTCGAATGGGTCAGGTGTTTCTTTTTGTAGTTTGGTAAAGTCTGCAAGAACTTTGTTGAGTTGTTCACAATATTCTTTGTTAAAAGTTGCAGGAACTCTTTCTTCTGGCTTTGAATTGAAGTATTCTTCAGACAATCTGAGTAGTATTTTGCGTAGTTCAGCGTTGCTGTGGTTCTTTGTAATACGGAGCTCGTTTGGTATTGTTTTTGGTAGTGAAAGTGGCTTTGGATTGAGTGAATTGCAGGACAAATTTGAATTTGAATTGTCTGTTCTGCTTGGAGAATGTGTAGATGCTGCAGTTTGATATTGAGGTTCTAAACCTGTGGGTGCTGAAAGTCTGCAAGCAATTTCTTCAGGTGAATTTGGAGCGAACACGCTAGCGAATGCCATTAGACAAAAATAAACTGTTTTTTTCAAATAAGAGTTTGAGATGAACCGTTTTCGTCCCTCTATTTTTTTATTTTATTTAATAGTTACCGTTGGAAAACCGTTCCATCTCAAATATTGAATGAACTATAAACGTTTTTTGTTTTCTATATATACTTTTTTGTCCAACGGTAAAACTTTTTACACAACGGTTTTTGAGAGTCGTCGCTGTTGACTTTTTTGTAGAGCACTCAAAATAGTATAACTTTGTCCGGACAAGTAAGGGTCTATCGTCGCTACAGGAAAAGTTACAGGCGTTCCAAGGAAGTATACTTTGAGAAGCCTTTTCCCCTTATAGAATGAGATAGGACGGTTATTTTACAAAACTGACAACACTTTGACCGAGTAGTTTTTTGTGCTGAACAAAAAGTGTCATATAAACATCTGTCAAAAACCGCTTTTTAACTTCACTTAAAATGCCACGTAAGCTACGTAAGAATATACGTAAGAGGAAGGGAGCATTGAAACATCCAATAGTAAAAACACCACAACAACAGTTGCAACAACAAATGATGAATGACCCCACTATGTTGCAACAAATGTCAAGCAACCCTATGCTTTTAAACCGAGTTATTGGTGCACAGAGTGGAGGTTTAAGAGCGGCACTTTTAGCGAAAATGGCAGGCTATGGTGGAGCTGCAGACGGAACAGCTTATAACCCTCAAAGTCAAATGAATTTGAGTTCACTCAAAAATCAAATAACAGATGTCAAAAAGTCAAACATAGACATACAGAAACAAATAAGTGAAAACGAAAAGAAACTAGAATATGACAGACACACAAAGAAACTCAATGAGTTAAACGTAGAGAAAAAGAAGAAAGAAGAACAACTGAAAGAACTAAGTACAGAGGAATATGCGAAAAAAGTGTCAGAAAAAGCAGCAGAAGTAGCAAAAATGGAACAAGATGTTATAAATTTGAAAAACCATACTACTCAATATAAAGTACTGAAAGATGAAGAGATAAAACAAAAAGCCCTGAAGACATATATGGATAGCGATGAGTATAAAAAAGAAGTTGAAGCAAATGTAAAGGCAGAAAAACTTTTACAGTTGCAAAACCAAACCGTACAGTATGAAAACTTAGCACAAGAAAGTAAAAATAACGACGCAGCCATGCAAAAGGCAATGAAAAGCGCAGAATATATAAAAGCTAATAATGACTGGTTAGATGCCCAAGCCAACGCTATGAGCCGCTTACATATTCACAAAAATAAATTGTTTTCATGAGTTTTCTACGATGTTAGAAAAAATGTTATTTTCTAATATCTTCACATTCAATACTTTTTCAATACTTTTTCAGCACTTTTCCGTAGTTATATATGAAAGACAATTCGAGATAAAAGTCATAGTACAATGGAATAATATGTTGCACACCATTTGTTGTGAACCAAACTTGAAAGTCAGAGAAACTGTTACTAGGTGGTTCGTAGAATTTAGAAGCAAAGTCATAAAAGTCCTTACCAATACATAGAAAACTATTGTTGCTTGAACTGAAACTTGCATGACACATAACATTTTGAGGGTCAAACACGTTTTTATAAACTGTCAAATCTGCTGGTGGAAGTATAAATTTAAATGGACCATCTGGTGGTAATGGTTCGTTCTGGTTTAGTAACCGAAGAAATTGTGCCCAAGAACGTTTGTCTACTTCCCAAAATAAAAACTGTGTATCTCTTGGAGGGTTAATTTCAATCCTTTGAAATAAAACGGTGGAGTTCATCTTGTCATATTCTAGTTTCAGATAGTATGTTCCATTTAGTAAAGAGTCGTATTTTTCTTGAAATTCCCAATAATATTTGTTCATTTGAGTTTGAAAGTCATTTAGAGTTTTCTCAAGACTTTCGTCTGAACGAACTGTAAAGATTCTCATTTCGTCAAATTTGTCTATTAGACCATCAGAACCTTTATACTGCCCATGAAAATATACTGCGAACATAAATGCGTTAGTTCTTTTTGAAAACAAAACTCTTCTAAATCCTATTGCCTTTGCATCTGAAGGACTTTGAAGCCAACGAATTGGATAGTCAAACCTGTATATTCGGGATGAAATTTCTTCATCTGATATTGTCCTACCAGCATTTGTAAAGATATAGTCTAACGGTTTTGTATCTGCTACTTTTGTTCTTTGTTTTTCAACCTGAAGCATTTAATATATGTAAAAAAATACTGTTTTAAAATGGTATGCCATATAGCTTCTTGAATTTGTTAAGAAGTATTCGAACGTGTTTTCCATCTGTATCTCTAGTGTTTACATAAGCATAGCCTTCCTTAGTAAAACATACTTGTAATTTCCTATAGTTTACGCCGGTATAAAAGTAGAAAGAGTCTTGTTCTTCGCTATAGTAGTAAAACTCAAACGTATGCTTACCATAGTCTGTAATTTCAATTGTTTCATCTTCTAGTTCGTCGACAAATTCGAATACAATATCTCGAAATTTGCTTTTGTTCTTATTGTTTTCAGAACAAGTGACCCAACGTAAGTTTTCAAGTCTATTGTCGTTTCTTATACGGTTTATATGGTCTACAAAAGGTAAATTGTTAGGGTTCGGTATAAAATGAGTTGCAATGACAACATGTTTAAAATAGTTTTTTCCACCCATCCTCATCATAGCATATCCGTCATTTTGCTCCCATTCGCTTAAAACTCTTTTTGTCTTTTTGTTTCTGACTTCAAATGACTCACAACAGTGAATTTCATATTTCTCATCTAACAAACAAGTTTCCCAACGGTCTGCTCCAACAAACTCAGCGTACATTTCAAATAAAATAAAAAAATGTTTTTTTAAAAATATTTTGTTTTAAATGGTATGCCATTTCATATTTCTCATCTGTAACAAACAAGTTTCCCAACGGTCTTCTCCAACAAACTCAGCGTACAGTTCAAATAAAAATAAAAATATACTGTTTTCTTTACTTTACATAACCGCCTGATACCAGAAGTCTTTGACGCCAACCCATACCAGCTAATGAAGGTTGACTTGGTTTAGTTTGGAAACTAAACTTTGGTTTTGGTTTATCTTCAGTTTTTGGTTTTTCTTCTTCTATTGGTTTTTCGTCACTTTTCGGTTTCTCTGACTTTACTTCACTTGCAGGAACAGTTGTGTCGTCAACATCTTCATAAATATCATATGCCATTTGTTTTTGTTTTCCTTTCAACTTTTTGTGTTTGTTGTAAAGTTTAGAATATTTCGACTCTAAGTCAATGAGATGTTCTATAATGAACTGTTGGTCAGTGAAGTAAACTTTTCCATCTGCTGTCTCTTTAGTTCCTTCAGACTTCAATATTTTATTTGTGAGAGTCTGTTTCTTTTTTGAGATACTAGCCGTTCCATTTCTATGAAAAGTGACTTTATAGTTAGGGTTTGTATTTCCAGACCTGGCACTTTCTATTATTGAATTTTTCTCTTCATCTGTAAGTTCTTTGACAGGTTTTGACAATGGTTCTGAACTTTTTGTTTGTGGTGTCAAATCTACCGTTTCAACTTCTTCGGTCATTTCATCTCAGTAAAAAATTTTAGTTTGGTTTGTTTTCAACTGGTTGTTGTTGTTTTTTAAGTCGGTCTAAAACTTCCTGAGGTATAGGAAGAACTTGACAAACACGTGGTGTAACTGCTGGAAGCCGACAAATCCATCTTGAACCATTTGTCTCAATGCTGTATTGTTCATTTCATCTCAGTAAAAAACTTTACATTCCCCACGTTTGAGGCGGTTGCGGTTGGTTATTGTTTACCCATTGTTGTGCATGGTTATATCCTCTGTTAAAGAATCTTTCACCTTGGTCCATATAGTGTCCTGCTTGGTTATAGTAGTCATTTGCTTTGTTATAATAGTTTCCTGCTTGTCTTCCTACATTGTCCATCCATCCTTGAACTTTTCCTCTTGTTTCAGGATTTGGAATAAGATTTGCTGCATCTCGTGCTACCTCCCAACCTTTCTGTACGGTTTGTATAATAGGTTGCGCTTTCTCTTTCAGTATACCTAATGTACTCAAAATCTTCCTTCCAATTCCAAATGCACCTCTGGCTATTGTTCCCACTGCGGGCAAAAATCTGGATGCAACTCCTGCTAATGCGCCAAATAAACCCATTTCTTATGGGTTAAAAAATGACGAATCCAAACAAGGACCCCTATGTTTCTAAGGCAACAAAAAAAGCACTCATGATAAAAATCTTTAGTTCAACACCAAATGCTTGGTTTATGGATATCTTGGAAAACATTCCGAGGTATAGAGAAGATGGACCACCATACTGGCTAATATTTGTCGGTCAAAACACAAGATACTGTGAAGCCATACCATTATGGTCCAAAAATATTTTAGATGTGAAAACTGCTTTGACAATATTCGTTGACAAATACCATCCAACAAAACTGACATCTGACTGTGAAAGTTCTTTCAAATCAGATGATGTAAAAAACTATCTGCGTTCAAAAAATGTAAACCAATATTTCATTGTCGACCAAAACCATTCTGCTCTTGGTGTCATTGACAGTTGTATAAAAATCTTAAGAGACTTAAATCAACCACAAGGTGGTGAAGTAAATGAAATGTCATATGACGACAAGTATAGACATTTCTCCATGGCAAAGATGAGACAAGTTTTAAATATTTACAATAGCCGTAAACAAAAAGGTTTGGGAAACCACTCCCCCGAAGAAATGAAAAACAACCCTGACTTAGAGAAAGACTATATATTTAACAATTTAGTCAAAAGAGACAAACAAGAAAGAATGCCGGGCTTCAAACTTCAGAAAGGTGACAAAGTAAAAATAGAAATACCTAAACGCGACCCATATGAAAATACTATTGACTATGACAACAATGGGAACTCGACAGGTACTCGCATTCGTGTTCGTAAAAATAGAAGAAAGTATACAAGAGAATATTATGAAGTTTTAGGCAAACATGGCAAAATGTACAGACTGCAAGCAGAAGATAAAACGACTATTGTCAGACCTCGTTTCAAACTTGTCAAAGTTCAAGGTGGTATACTTTCAAAGACAGTTCCTAACAAATATAAGACAACTCCTGACGAATATGCTAAAGAAGTTGAAAATGACGACTAAGCATTTCTATACCATGCGTAAACTGTCATGTAAGGTGGCATGTAGTCTTTACTTTGTCCCGTTGTTTGCGTATATCCCGAAACGCGATGTGTATGGTTTCCATCTCCCTGAGTGTCACCCCAGAAACAATTTATAGCAAACTGAACGTCGTCTTTAACATCATATCCTTTACCTTTTTTCATTGCTGACCAATCCCAAAATTTATGCTTATGCCAACCTGCTTGAGATGTACTTAAATCTATGTAGTGACTGTGCGCAGGTAAATTTTCACCTGAAATCGTTTTACTTCCTCCTGTTTCCTTTGAAGAGTTTGCACAATACAAAAACCTGTCAACTATTTGAGTCCAAGTTCCAAACCCAGAACTGTTTCTGGTCTGGTAGAGTTCATTGACGTATAAATAGAGCCTATAGATATAATGTTTGAAGCATTTCTGTCTTTAACGTTTGAAGCTCTGTTTTGTCAGCTTTTTATCTAACTCATCGTTAACATATGTTTTGTCAGCTTTTTTATCTAACTCATCGTTAACATATTTTTGTCAGCTTTGTTGTCATATAAATCTTGAGCAGTGAATTTAACTTTGTTTTCATCCTCATGACATAGACATTTCTACATCTAGTGTATTTCATCGTCGTTATGTCATCCTCCGATGTTAAACCTTGTGGAAAGTTAGGAGGTTTCCAATACAATGCATCCCCACCAGTTCCATCAGGTTCTTCAACCGTTCCTGCAATATTTTCTATACCAACAGTTGCGAAGAAATCGTGTGTATGAGTCTTTTTAGAATATTCTTTGTCAGCTCTTGTCACTTCACTTGACATTTTATTGTCAACATATTTTATCCGCTTTGTCATCTAACATTGCTGGTAGTTCATCTACGTCATAGATGTTATGTGTATGGTGTTTTTGTGGGTATGTTCTATCTGTCCATGCGAGAATATAGTCTCTTGTTGCATCTACATACTCTTTTGTCAGCTTTTTGCAATATCTGCCTTCAAAAGAAGTTCATCTATAGGTTTCTCGTTTAAAGTTCCTTTTGTTGGATTTATACAGACAGTATGGTTCTTATTGTCTTGAAACAGAAACTCATCTGTCATTGGGTTTAATGTCAGTTTTAAGTTTCCTTCTTTCAATGACTCAGATATCTTAGAATAGTTTGAAAAGTTTGTTGTTTCTTATTTAGAGCTTGCACAATGAGTTGTCGGTTGTGTTGTATTTCTCTCATGGAAGCAATATCTTCGACATTTTATTGTAGATAAAATATGCTTCCAATAGAAAAAGAAAATTCAAGAGTTGCTACAACTAAACCATTAGATGAACTTTTTACTAATGTCGGTCAAAAGTTTGAGACAGAGACCGTAAAGCATGAAGGCTATCGTTTTGACTACCCATTAAGATGGTTAAGAGACCCATCTGTCACAAAAGCTATTGGCTTTCGTAGAATGAAGTTTGTGTCTGTAGAAGATAAAAGTTTTCCATTTATTGTAAGGTTTCATATAGATTATATATCTGAAGGGAAACGAAAAATGTGGGAAGAAATTGAGCTAATACAAGTTGACCTTTCATCTTCTCTACAGACTGCTTAAAAAATATAGAAGATAAAATAAATTCATGTTATGCAAAATATGCTGATGAATATGCAAATACCGAGAGCACACTTTATGTGAGAATTGTATATGACAAACAAACACACAGTGTCATTTCAAATCTACGAAGACAATCCAAAGAAAGACGAACAAATATATACAGAATTCACTGCAATGTCATGGTATTATTTGCAAAGAATGTTAAATCAGAAAGTCGAACTTCCTTTAGCAAATATTTACAGTATATGCAAGAGATGAACATATTTATTTAAAGATGTTTTCGACCCAGCTGCTATTATTGTTCATGCTTCATTTTCTGGCGCCCAAAACTCTTTCTTATGCTTGGCAAATGACTTTTACGAAAAACCTACAAAGTTATACGAACCACCAAGTGGAAGTATTTCAGACTTTCAAGTATGGTTTACTACAGATGGAAGAAAAAAATAATTCCATTATACCATGCGTTTTACTTAGAACTTAGTTTCATATACAACTACTATCGAACGGTAAAAATATAATTTTTAATACGGTTGAGGTGTTGGATTTGGTTGCCAACTAGACTGTGGTGCAGGTTCAGGCTGTTGTATAACAGGAGCTTGTTCTTCTGGTTCAGGGTCTTTAGGTATAATACCAACGAACTGACCTACCCTTTTACCAATATTTTTGACTCCGTTCCAAATTCCTCTTCCTACGGTTTTATTCCATTCCATATACCTCTTCCAACATTCGAAAGAAGTTTCTATCTTACTGAAGAAACCCATTTTACTATATGTAAAAATCTAATGTCCGCCTAGTCTCTTACGTTTCCTGTTGAGTTCCATAGCATTCTTTAACTGGAGCTCATACATTCTGTTTCTCCTCTGGTAGAAAACATATTCTGGGTCAACTCCTGTGTTCGCGTCATCTGCATAAAGTTGTTTATATCCCACTTCAGGGTTTGTATAAAACTCTTTCCATCTCATATTTGCATACCATGGTGGCAAACCTAACGCAGCGTCATTTGACATGCAGTTTGCATTTGTACATCTGTTGGCACTTGACCATAGTTTGCCATTGCAGTTTGTATTCTAACTTCATTTGGAATATTCTCTGGTTTGGTTGTCCAGGTTGCTGTGCATTCGCTAAGTTCTGTGCGTCCATTTAATATTAGAAAAATATCTCTTACGAGTACATATACTGAACATTTGCAGCATTGGTTCATCTTCATATTCTCTGTACTTTTCTGCCACGTCAAAAAATAAATGACACAATGGAAAAAACCTAAAACAAGTAGTCCTATTTCAAACCACATTTACTTACTAATAAAATTTCTGTTATGACACTTCTCCAGTTTATAGGACCTCTCTCATATTCTATCTTGTCATATATAAACTCATAGTCATGTATGTCCTCTAACCATCTCATAACGGTTTCCAAACCACTTTTATCGGATGTAAAGTAAAAGCATGGATGGTTATGTAAAACGTCTAAAGTTTCTAAAGAGTCTCTCAAAGTCCAGTCTACTGGTATTGAAAATCCCATGTGTTATAGAACGGCGGGTCCACTATAAAGAAAACATTTTCCTTGTCTTTATATTTTCATACAAATCTGTCCAATGACATCTCACAAACTCTATACCCTCAATATATTTTTCTATTCCTCTTTGAAAACATTTGTATAGTTAAGATATAAAACTTTTGACATAAGTGTTTCAATGTCATGAACTCTTATAGCACCACTATATAATAGTCTAGCAGATATACTATCCCAGTCTATATATTCTGCTTTTTTCAAAACCTCTCTCACAATATTTTTCTTATCTAATGGTATACGTTCCATCTTACCTATAGGTATCTTTTCTTTTAAACGCTTTCAATATATTGTTTGTGTCTGTATATGTTTGAGACGGTCCATATAGTTGTCGAAGCATTGCATATAATCTTTGAGTCTGGAATATTGTATGGCACAAATGGGATATATAGAAACTTCCACCGAACAAATCTACAAATGTTAGACCATTCGGTAGTTTCTTAAGTTCTCTCAATAGAATATCTTTACATCTACTCTTATTTCCAAAGAAGGGTAACGGTGGTTTTGTAAAATTCATTTATATATATATAAAAATGTTTTTTCCCTGAAAAGTGACAGAAAAGTGACAAAACATGAAAACATATATAATTTGTGAAAAGCGACACATTATATAATGTTTTCGACCCAGAAGACTAACAATTTTCCGAATAAAAACTTCATTTATACTAAACATCTTCAGGGCTAGAGGGCGCAACGCGCCTGGAAGCCCCACTACCTTTTTTTTTTTTTTTTTTTTTTTTTTTTTTTTTTTTTTTTTTTTTTTTTTTTTTTGTGTCGTTCTTCGATGTAATTTTTAGGAAAAATTGTGGTCGAAAATTTGCGGTTTTGACAAGCATGGCCTTTTCTAATGGAATCAACCCAGGAGCAGGTTAAGTTAGCTGTTGTCAAGCAGGTCATCGGCCGCACAGGCTCACGTGGTGGTGTTACACAAGTTCGCGTCGAATTCCTTGATGACTCCAACCGCTCCCTTGTTCGCAACGTTAAGGGTGCTGTTCGCGAGGGCGACATCCTTTCACTTCTCGAAACAGAGCGTGAAGCCCGCCGTCTTAGATAAATTATTCTAAAAATACACTTAGAAAAACCTATTAAATATTATTACTAATCTTCAATTTTTTTAAAATACCCAATTTCGAAATCGTATACAAATTTCCACACACAACCCCTATAAGTATAATTACTGTCACCAATATAATATTTTTCATATTCTTTTCCATTCATGGTTTATATATATACTGTCTAGGTGAAGACATTGTGTATCTTCAATCCGCAATGTCTTCACCTCCCAAATTTAAATTGTTAATTTACTAAAATCTCAACTTAATAAGCTTGAAACACTATCAAAACCTGAAATATAGCTTCTTTATGATAGTTTCCAGTAATCTTTTTAGGTAGATAATCCACATGAAGACTTTCCACTTAAAAATCATGTGAATTAGTTAAATATCCAACATTTTTTGATGATTGTAATATAACCATGTTATATTGTCATTGTACGCTGTGTAAATATGATACTTTTAATAATCATTTTGAAAATTACTAAACAAAGCCTGTTGTACAATAGAAAATTATTTTGTGTGATGGCAAACTATGTTGATTCGGGAAAGTAATGCCATTTTCGCCTATACAAACATGAATCCATAATTCATATCCAAATTGAGGGCTCTTTAAGTAATGACTGAAGCATCTATTATCTGTGGATGAATTCAGACGCAAATAAAAGTATTGATAAGTGTGATCGCGATTTCAAAAAGAATGAGAGAACATGAACGAACATCATCTACAGTTCGTTTTTGCTAACATTAGCTCAGTGTCTCTTGTATGAATGCTGAAATCAAGAAAACTCATGCATATAATTCTATGTCACATTTTTGATCTAAAAAATGTGGTCGATTGTATTTTATGCCTTTCTCTTTTATATTATTCGTAAGATGATATTGGCATTAGTAAAGAGACACATTCCACCTACAGCTCCTCTAGAAGATCTTCCAGAAGAAGAAATTAAACAACTTAAATTTTCTAAAGATTTCTATTTTGGTACCGCATCATCAGCATATCAAGTCGAAGATACCAAAGAAGAATCTAATTGGACACGATTTTCACATCAATTCAATCGTGAAGGCGAAAGAAAAGCCCCCGATCATGAAAATGCATGCAAAGCATTCGAGAATTTCGACAATGATTTACAAATAATGAAAGATTCTAAGTTTAACTGCTATAGATTCGGATTATCATGGTCTGATATTGAACCAAAACACGGAGAATTTAATGATTCTTATATGCAGAATTATATTGAACAATGTGATAAGCTCACTGCTCAAGGAATCGAACCAATGATCACCCTCTTTCATTTTGAGTATCCAGGATGGATAGAAGACGAAAAAGGATTATTATCACAGAATTTCCATCAATATTTCATCGAATTTGTTGAATACACTGTTACAAAACTTAAAGGCCATTGCAAGTACTTCTTTACAATCAATGAACCAATGTCCGTCAGTCTTATGGGATATTTAGGCGGCGCTTTTCCACCAGGCTATAAAATGAAGTTCAGAAAATCATTTTTGGCTGTTTCCAAGATGTTATTCTGTCATTTATCCGCATACAAACTTATTCATCAGATAATTCCTGAATCAAAGGTTTCCATTGTTAACCAGCTTGTTCTTTGTTATCCAAAACACAAGTGGTCCATCATTGAGAACGCGCTTGCCTCTGCTGTCAATTCTTTCCTTAATCGTCCTTATATGGAAGCATTAACCACAGGAGTTTTACAGTTCAGGCCATTAGGCATCCGTCTCTTCAAGCAACAAATCGTCGGCTTACCGGAATCTCAAGATTTCATTTCTGTCAACCATTACACTTCGATTTACATTACAATGGATCCACGGGACTGGAACGAGTTCCCGATGGCCAACAGGCGTCCGAACAAGGATGTCCCACTTTCTGACTTTTCTTGGAGTTTAATTCCATCATCTCTGGAAAGTGCTGTCAGATGGGTCGACAAAGAGTGGAACCCCCACCATTTACCAATATTCGTCACAGAGCATGGCCTTTCTGATAGAGACGACCTCCACAGAGGTTGGTTTACGACTCAATCTCTCGGTTACTTGAAACACGCCATTGATTACGGAATCCCTGTAATGGGATACATACATTGGTCGTTACTCGACAACTACGAATGGAACGAAGGCTACAAACAGCATTTCGGACTCGTAAAGGTCGATTTTCAGTCCCAGGAGAGAACTCCGCAGAAGAGCCTCCAAATGTATAAAGAAATAATAGAAAGATCTGTCTAAATATATATATTTATCTAATCTTTTTAATCGATTTTTACTTTTTCAATTTCCCTGAGAATTTTAGCATTTGTTCATCATAGTATTACCATTATAAAGGTTCTTTTATATCCTATACTTCCATATCAGTGTTGGTCTCTATTGTATTTCAAAGAGTTCTATAATTTGAAAAAAATTCTCCATATTGAGTTGCAAAAGTAAAAAATTGAGGTATTATATTATATTTTTAGGTATTATGGAAATAGATATGTAACATTTATTAAATGTAAGTCGCTCATATTTATATCGCATAGATCTATGGAAATAAACTTATATTTGTGAATAAATATTAGGACACCTTGACTTTGGGTATTCGAGGAGTTATGGACCATAATAATTCAAAACAAATTTGTATATTTTCAGTACTCATGATGAAATGCTTTAAGATTTTCCAAAAATATATGCGAAATGATAAGGGATAATCTATATATTCCAAACGAACTGGAGTTTTTAAGTATGAGTTATATTTGAAACGATTACAAAAGATAAATTTGAGAATTCAATCTCCAAACAAAATAAATAACTAGATAACTTGCTAATAAGTAAAATATTTCTATATATAAAACTTCTGTTATTTATTAAATTTATTCTTAGTACTTTAAGTCAGATCCACCGACAAACTCGCGAATGCACGAGATGTGCGGAACTTCTTCAAGAGGGATTGGGTAGAACAAGTTGAGCATACCGAGGAGTCTCTTTGCCTCCTGTGTGACTTCGGCAGTGAGTGGATCTCTAATATCTTCATGCTCTTCTGGAATTGTGGCCTCAGAGAGTAAAGCGCGGCCGTAGATAGAAAGAACAGGAAGTTCGTAAACCAATGAAGAGTTGAAGAACATTTCTGCATTGCCTTGGTATGGGAAGATGTTCTTCTCTTCGCCAACTCTGACTGATGTCCATCTGTGGATTGTTGTACGAGCAGAATAGCCACGGTACTTGTGGTCTCTGATAATGCGGCGGATGAGACGAAGATCAGATGTTGGGAAGCGGTGACCGCTGTCGATAACAAGTGGAGTAAGTGGAGCAACGTAGATTGGAGTGACCATGTTGCGACCGATTGGGCCAAGTAATTCTGGATTCAAGCCGTGAATGCCTTCAAGGATGAGGAATGCGTTAGCTGGAAGGGTCTGCTTCTCTGTTTCGATGTTGATGCCCTTGCCTTGCTTGAAATCGTACTTGCGGCGAAGAATTGTTTCACCTTTAATTAATTTGTGGACATTCTCAGCAAGAACATCGACGTTCATAGCGCCAATGCACTCAAAGTCGTACTTGCCATCTGGACCCTTTGGTGTCTTCTCGCGGTCAACAAAGTAATCGTCCATTTCAATAACAATAGAGTCGTAGCCGACAACGCGAAGAGCGATGGCAAGACGCTTAGCGAATGTTGTCTTGTTTGATGATGATGGACCTGCAATTGTGATGACACGCTTGCCTGGGAATCCTTCAACAAGTTTCTGTGCAATACGAGCAAGTTTGCGCTGGTGAAGACCTTCGCAAACCCACTTCAAGTCGTAAACCTTGCGCTCGAAGATGGCTTCGTTAAGCTTTGGAACTGTATCAACTCCGATAAGCTTGGCCCACTGTGTGTACTCCTGGAACATCTCAAGCTGAGCTGCTGGATCACGCCAGTCTGTAAGGGCTTCGGATGATGTAAGTGTTGGCATACGAAGAACGATACCATTTGCATAAAGGCGGAAGCCGTAGACAGAGAGCTGAGATAAGTCGGTGAGCATTGGCTCGATGGTGTAATCGACGAACTCGCCAAGGCGAACACATGGAACTGGATCAACAGCCCAGGCCTTAAGAACTCCAACCTTATCATCGAGCTTGTTAGCTGTAAAGAGTTTGATTAATTCGTTACGTGGGATTGTGACGTTCTCGAGGAACTTGTTTTCAGAAATAAGCTTCTTCATCTCTTCCTCAATCTTCTTTAACATCTCTTCTGTGATTTCTAATCCATCAACATCAATGCAATAGATACCATCAGCAAGGGAGTGGGCAGCTTTGAGACGGCGATCGAATAATTTTCCGTAAATGCATTTAACCAAGAAAACAAATGTAGCACGGTGAGCATTTAACTTAACACGAAGGCTGGCATTCTGGAGCTGGTCATCGTGGGATAAAATTGTGCGATTGATATTGTCTGTGGAAATAAAGCGCGAATCTAATTCAGACATAGTTCTGTGAAGTGACTATCTCAAAAACGATGAAGCCGTTTTTACATTGGCTGGATAAGATTTTGAAGTTTTGAAATATATCGATTAAGTTCCTTTAATAAGATAAAATATTGGTAAATTTCTTCATGGTTGAGAGAAATTATATGAAATCAACTCGTTTTTTGACATTTTGTCTATAGCATAATAGTTATTTATATGTTTGTGTCGTTTTTATGATTTAAAACTTATGAATATTCATTGCTTGCAAACTTTTCATTGATTTTTGATCACATTGTTTTAAAAAAGTGCTAATATTTTGAATTAAATTTGTTTGAATAGTCTCTCAAAATTGATATGATGTTAGATTAGATATACTATATTAATTTTTGGCATTTGAATTTTAAAATATAAAATTTTGACGATAGCGCGTGAAAAAACGATGAACATTATTCGTTCTTTAGTTAAATCTAGCTGAATCATTCATTTTTATGAACGCTTATATGATTAAATGATTCTTAATTATTCCTCAATTCCCGAAACTCTGTTTTGAGATTTTTCAATCAATTCGAAATGCCCCAAATCACATCTTCTAACGCAGTATTGGAATACATCAAGAATCTATTATGGGTTTCAATATCTTTTTACCAAATAAGATCTTAGATTCTCATATTTGCACGTGGTATACATGGTAATCTTCAAGTCAAATTTAAAGTTGTACATATATATTAAAGTAATTGATTCTTGAATATTTGAATCATTAAGAGTAAATATGAAGAATCGATATGCAAATATCTTTGAAAGATTCCATCTTCTAAATCTCTGTAGTATTTAGATGCGAAGTATGACTAGGGTTTTGCAAAAAGGTTTTGCAAAAATACTCTAAAAATTGTGCCTAATACAGTGGAAATGGTGGTACCCGAAGGGCGACATCCTTTCCACCACACTCGGCAAATGAACAGAAAAATAACTTTTTTTTCTCTCATTTTCTTCTTATTTTTTCCCTCTTCTTTTCTTTTTCTCTCTTTTCCTTCTTTTCCTTCCTGCTTCCTTTCTTAATATTCTGTTTGAGTTTCAAATAAGATAAAAAAAAAATCAAAATCTATATAAAAATAAGAAATAGATAGAAGATCATAAAGACGTATAGCTAGATTATATATGCACATTGTGTTTATTGAAAAGACTTAATAAGTTTTTGATTTCACAAGATTCCGACCAAACCATATGGGCAAGCACAGAATCATCTTCCTGACTCAAATGCTTATAGTGATGTCTGGAATCAATCTCACTCTAGAGCCAAAACATTTGTTTTGACATTCGAGTGTCAAAAAAACTGTGTATTTTAGAATGGGGTGAAACCCGAATCTACCATAATATCCACTTTTTGATAGGAAATAACCGTTTTTAGGGGAAAATTGGGACATTATTAATGTTCGACCAAGATGTTTATCTAAACAAATACAACAAATTACGATGTATCTACAAATACTATATCGATTCATTTCTTGCGTTGTATAAGTTGAAAACGGAATCAGAAGAAGAATTAAAGTCAATTTACAAAATGATCAAAACAGAATTGATTGATTCCAATAAATATCCACCCAAAAATATTATAAAAGACATTTTGAATATCATTCCGTATAATAATCGCTATGCAATGTCATATTTATCTTTAACTAAACTCTTTTATGATGAATATCATGTGGAACAAGTCAACAATCTCATATCTCCTTCAAACACCCTGTTTTATAAAGAATATGAAATTAAATTAGACAAATCTTCTGATTCCGGAAATAATTATATAAAAAATCTGGATATTCATACAGAAAATACAATATACAGAGCAATTATGAATAATGACAAAGAAAGATTCATTTGCTTCACAGAAAGAGATGGATTTGATAAAAATGAAATACTTGAAAGCAGTTTATATCCTTATTCTAAAGAAGGATATTCATTACTTGAATTATGTTGTTACCATGGGGCAGTTGATTGTTTCAAGTTATTAAGAACAAAATTTAACTCAGAAATAACTAAAAAATGTCTACAATTTTCATTTTTAGGCGGAAATCCAGAGATCATGAGTGAATGTTTAAAATATCAAAAATCAGATGATGATTGCATGGAATATGCAATTATTTCACACAACATTGATTTTGTAACATTCCTGATGAATGAATACAAAATAAAGATTGATTTAGATATTTGTGGATTTTACAATAATCTTGAAGCCTTTTTAGTTTATTTCAATCAAACTAATGATACAAACAAATGTTTTGTTTATTCACCGATTTTTAATATTCCATCCCTTTGTGAATATTTTCTATCACATGGTATGAAAATCAATGGAAAAGATAAAGATGGAAAAACAGCACTTCATACTGCAGCATTTCGCAATTGTAAAGAAACTGCAGAACTTCTTATTTCACGCGGCGCAAAAATCAATGAACAAGATGATTATGGAGAAATAGCACTTCATAAAGCAGCATGGAATAGTAGTATTGAAACTGCAGAGGTTCTTATTGCACATGGTGCGAATATCAATAAAAAGGATAAATATGGACAAACCCCTCTTCATTTTGCAGTATATTGTTTTTGTAAAGAATTCGCAGAACTTCTTATTTCGCATGGTGCGAATGTCAATGAAAGAATGAATATTGGAGATACAGCACTTTATACAGCAACATATCTTAATGATTTAGAAATGGCTGAACTTCTTATTTCACATGGTGCGAAAAAATAATGTTCTCTTCTAAGATACTATTCTTTATTTTTCTGGTATTAATAAATATAACAATTAAATAAGTTTTTTTTAAACCGATTCTATACATAAAGATAAACTTCTTAATCTTTTATCGCTATTCCATGCTTTTTATTTAATCTAAAATAAAACGTTATAAAATATCGACTTCTTAATGCAATTAATCAATGAAATTCTTGCAAAATGACGATTTTTCTAGCGGAATATGGCCATTCTAAAAAAAATAGTAATCATTGAATAACATGAGTTATGAGTTATTTAAAAAAGCCCATAACGATTATTATGGGTTGAAGTTCAACCCGAACTACTTAGTAATTGAATTATATAATTTTTCCAAATCTAAACACGTTACTGTTCCTTAGTCTATAAATATCCGAAGAGGTTGTAATTGATCGGGTGGAACAGAGTTTTTTTGAAATCTCTATGAAAAACAGATCCAATGGCAATCGATAGTGATGAGAAATTTGTCACTTTTATCGATAATTGACTCAATTTTTGACAGCCAAAATATGGTTTACCGAAATATTTACATGATTACCAGCATTACACATATAATTAACGAAATAATACAATTTAATTTGAATTAAGGGAGGCTTCCGACCAGAAAACCCTCTCAATTTTTTGTGATGTTTACACCAAAAGTGAGATTCGTTAAGCGTTTTTCTCGTTGAATATTGAGTTTCCCGGATTTTAAGTTATTCATAAAGCTTCTCTATATTATACCCTATCTACTGATATGATTATTTTTGAAAAATCTCTTAAATCGACCTGCACTGAATTTTTTAGGGAAAATTCGAAATTTTATAAGCGTTTTCTGTAACGTTTTTTCACGGAATAAAATCCGAAAAATAATTTTTTGAAGAATCATTTGGGTAGAATACTTATCGAAAATTATATTTATTATAATTTTGGTCGATAAAAATAAGCGGATTCAAAACTGGCAAAAACCCTTTCGGCAATTTGTGGACGATTCCGAACCCCCTCATTTTTGAAATTTAATAAGAAAAATAGAACCTTTATTAAATATAGATTTTAAAAAACTTGGTTATAAATTACGAAATTTTCTCACTTGGGCTAAAAAGTGACAATTTGGTCGGAAGCCACCCTTAAAACCGCATTTCTGATATTTTTTTTTCTTTGACATAATGGAGCAGAACCAGTTTAATAACTTCACTCCTAAATCCAATAAGAAGAAATTTGCCGCATACAAGGCTAAAAAAACCAATAGTATTACCATTAATGTAGTTGATGATGAAGAATTACTTGATGACGATGATTTAAACGAGGCCGTTGTTGTAAATGGAGCACAACCTTCATCTAAGGTTGGAGATGATGAAGAGTTACTTGACGATCCAGAACTTACTGCCCAAGTTGTAATTAACAATAATTCAAAAACGAAATCTAAAAATGAAAGAACGCCAAGCTCAGACGAAGAACTCTTAGATGATCCTGATATCTCGGCCACTGTTACAGTTAAGAATAATGGCATTGTTCCCATTCCAAAGCAAAAGAAAAAGAAAGGCGGCCAAAAAGGACAAGCAAAGTCCAATACACCCGATGACGAAGAACTCCTTGACGATCCAGATCTCACATCGACTGTCGTTATAGGAAATCAATTCGTACAAGACAAATTTGCTCCATATAAACCAGAAGAGTATCTTCTTTCGGACGATCAGATCAATGCAGTCATGGATGCATCCAACCCACAACAAGCAAAGCATCCAAAGTCGAAGAAAGCCGACAACAAGCCACAAAATCAAGCCAATGACAAATTTGCTCCATTCAATGCCAACCAATCTCATCAAAACCAACCACAGCCACAAGAAAACAAATACACTCCATTCAAGAACCAGAAATCCGAGCAAAATCAGCAAACAACTGACAAATTTGCTCCTTTCTCAGCCCAACAAGGCCAAAAGAAGGACAACAAGTACTCTACATACCAGCCTCAGTCATACCAGCCGCAAAATACCAAATATAATCCAAATCAGCCACAATACAACAAGAAACCATCCCAGAAGTACCAGCAGCCACAATCTGCAAGGATACCATCCCCAGAACCACAGACGAAAACCAGATATAACCCAATCAAGAAACCCGACCAAAGAAACAGTCGCCAGTACGGAAATGAAGAGTATGTCCCACCATTCCTTCAAAACAACAACCGCCAGGACAATTACCAGAAGAAGCCATATCATCAAAAAGATAATTATCAAAACAACTCTGCCGGCATCATTCACATGAAAGATCTCCTGCAGAATTACTACGACAACACTTCTAAATACGTAGAACCAACACCGGATTATCATGATTTTGATTTACCAAACTACACGAAGACGACATTGATCACAGACATCAAAGTTCCTACAATTGATCCAAATGACCGCGAGTATTTCCCTCCACAGCCAATCCAACCCAGAATGAATCTTCCGAAACAGAACAAGATCATTAAAAAGACACTTGACGAGGTCCTTGCAGAGAATGAGGCCAAACAACAAGTCTCTGGATCAGCCCTTTCTTCCGATCGCCAGATCAATGCAACAAATATTGATTCAATTGCAGCAACTCTTGGAATCAAAGTTCCTTCCTCCAAACAATCAGTATCTACTGTTCCTGCAGAGACATTTAAACCGAAAATCATCATTTCCGGTTCTGGCATCGAGATCACTGTTCGAGAGAAACCAAATCCACAGCAGCAACAGTCGAATTCGATGTCTGTACGTGGTTCTTCACTCAACCAAGGCTTCGTCAAAGAGAAATCATCTAATGATGACATGTCATTCCTCACAGAACAGCCAAAGCCATCATCTGTTGTATCGAGAGACATAAAGTTCGATGAAGATGTAGTTGTAGAACGTCCTGTAATGAAAGGACACGCTGTTGTTGAGAAACAGACTGCAAACAAAGAAATCTTCAAACAATCACTTGTCATCAAACAACCAGATGAATCTCCATCAATATTCGAATCAGATGATGAAGAAAATCACTTGGAAGATCAGAAATTCCTCAATGATGCTCTCGGAATTGAAGATGAAATCGGATTCAATGTCAAAGATGAAGAAATTAAAGAAGAAGAGGAAGAACACGAAGAAGAAGAAGCTGTTGATGATGGAATTTATGTACAAACAGAAGAAACAAATCCAGAAGACATCAAACCAATCAAACCAACAGACATCGTTTCTTCCAAAAATGTCGAAGAACAAACTAAACAACAAGAAGTCAAAGAAGAAATCAAACAAGAAATTAAAGAAGAAGTCAAAGAAGAAGTCAAAGTTGGAGATGAAGAAGAAGAAATTAAGGAGGAAGTCATTATTCCTTCAAGAGTTCAGAGCCAGAAGAGTAAGATGTCGAAGGGTGGATCAACAAATATCATCATTATTGGTGCTGTATTCGTTGTTATTTTGGCGATTGTCGCAAAAATGTTCAAATAAAATAAATAATTATATATATATATATTATGAATCTATTATATATTTTACTTATATTATGTTGGTGTTTGTTGAAGATGAGTTGAGTATATGTTCATATGACTTATTAAATAATTTGTTTTTGTCATGAAGTAATCATGTTAATTGTTATATATAGGGCTATATTTTCACAGAATAGTCCGAGACAATGACATAAATCATAAATTCTTGACATATTAAGGGTGCACTTACGCCCATCTGACTTTAATTCAAATTTTTAACAACTAGCGTGAAGCGTCATTGAAAATTAACCTTAAACACCTGAATTGAAGGACCCATATGTTTTCATAGGGGCGTAAGTGCACCCTTAAATAAATTGTTTTTGTCATGAAATTACTGAACTCATGAATTACCTTTTTTTATGATTTATGAGTATATCTATTTTAAACAATGCAAATAATTCATATTATAATCAGTATCATTCCTAGTCCGACTTTGTCTCCATAACTTGGATGATATCATGAATGATCTCAAAACGATCGCGTTGAACTTTCGCGTTAACAAGCTGTTCGGATAATTCATCACTCGTTGAAGAAAATTCATGTTCGTCGAAATGGTCTGGTTCGGTTGAGAAACCTTGGTCGTGGCATATGACGTCGAAGTCAAGATCTGATTATTCAATATCAGGAACTAAAAAATGGGAATTTCAGATTTCAAGTGATTCGTTTTCGAATTCAATACCTCATTTGAAAACATATGAAAGATTACGTGCAACAACGGGTGACATCTCCGCAAATTTACGACGACATGCAAATGCATCTTTTATATATGACTTTTCTTCATCACGAAGTTTTTGATTTTCTTCCGCAAGCTGTTTCTCATGATCAAGGAGACCATAGATTGAGCCTAACTCTTTGAGAATCAAATCGGTTGATTCTTGGCTCTGTTCGACAATAAGTCAGCGTTTTTTATAGGCATATGTCATTTCTTCAAGTCTTGCGAGTTTAGCTTTAGCGAGAGATTCGAACATTTGATTCAAATAAGTTTGCTGGGTTAATTCTCACACAGATAGACTACAAATGGGCTGGTGACTAGATATTTTTAACATCAGCAAATTATAATTGAACAACTACATACCATATTTCTTTTTTCTGTTTGTAAGTCATAGTGTGTTTAAACTAATAAACTTGAACTTAATGTTTCAATTAGTCAATTCTCAAACATTATGATCTCTAAATAAGATAAATGATTATCTTGGGATTTGCCTTTCTATGGAAAATTAAGCCATATTGCAATATCAAACAGGATTAAAATCGAAAAACATTAAACTCCTTAAACGAATTCATATTTTTTCATAATTTTTGTATGGCCAATAAACAAAAATATAGATACATTAGCAAATATTGATATTTTTATACTCTTTATGAAATCAGGAATGAAATTTGTCACAAAAAAATTTTTTTAGAAAGAAAATTTGATGATTCATCCATTTCTTTTTGGCTTAGCATTTTATGATAAAGAGAGTCCAACTAATATAGGTCATTTAGGCAGAGATGCAAAGCGTTTTCAAAATGAATTCTTCACAATTCCAAATAAAGGATGTAAAGCTCCCCATACAAAGAAGGTCGGCGGCAAATGTGTGTGCGAGCCAGGCTTTCCATATGGAAACCCAGAAGTCCTTGCAGGATGCTTTAGATGCAATGAAGATTGTCCAGATTATTCGAATTGTTCATACCCAGGAAAATGCCGATGTATTCCTGGATATTCAGATGAAGAAACATCATCATGCGTACCAAAAGCACCAGAATTACTTTCAATTCAACCAGAATTCGCACAATTTTTTTCATCAATCGCACTCAACGTTACATTTAAAACAGATCCCGGCGCTTCATTTCCAATAGGCTACTTGAAATTCAAAAATCAAATAGTTAAATGCAAAGGAAACGGAGTTAATCAATATAATTGTTCGATTAATCAAGTTGGCCTCCCAGGAGCTTTTGAAGTTTCCATTTCCTTTGATCAGAAGTCATGGTCTAAGGAAATCGTAGAATTGACTGTTATTGGCTTTGATTTAGCCAATTTAATCTTAGGATCGTTTTTGCTGTTGGTTGGAATCACAATTATAGTTGGCATTATTAGAATAAGAAAAGCTACTAAAAGAGCCGGAATTACTGAAGTTCCTTTCATTCAGAAGCAAATCCAGGCGTTTAAATGATATATTTGTTTGTTATGTAAATATTACAATAAAGAAATTACTATCGAAGATATCTATTCTTTACATAAAATTATTTTTTCTTCAAAATGACGAATTATACATTAATGAGATAATGTCTTTAAAGATACTTAAAAAGGGGTGCGCTCAGGTCTATACTTAATGACCAAAGAGTTTGATTTACCATGATTCAACTTTGTATGTTACAAATTCGGACGATAGACACATAAAAACTCATTTCAAATATATTTTTGCATAAATGATCAACAATAAGAACAGGGGCAATTATAAATTGTTATTGAATTTATTAAAGTTACTTATTGAATTATTTCAATACTTTCGATTAGTTTTCAGAAAAATATTGTATTTTTTTGGAATGATTGCATTTTTCTTATTAAGATCTTCAGTTGCCATTACTTGGTGCAATGATGAAGATGTTATTGAAATTAGACCAGGAATGATAGAAACACGAACAATTCTAAGTAATCATCGTTTATGTATTTCAGGTTCCGTTGTGATCAAATCCGATAAACCATTCGAAGCTGAATACCAAGAATACAATCGATATAGTGACGCATATAAGGACCTGTCATTGGAAAAAGAAGGAAAAAGGCAAAATATTTTTGTATTAGGTTCTTATTATTTCGATGTCAAGATGAGTATAAAAGCAGTAAATGAATTAGAAGATATACAAATATCAGTCATGGGTGTTACACCTTCATTTGAAAACGATCCAAAAGCAAGTGATGGATATTCCGAATCATTCGGCGTCTTTACTTCATTTAAATCGTTCGACTGTACAGTGACATTACCTAGTATAAGTCGGCTTATCGTAACTGCAATTAATCAAGTTCCACTAAAATTCACTGTCAAACATCCCGATGATGTAGAACTAAGAATAAATGCAAATGGTCAGGAAGATGCAACAACTGGAAATAATGTAAGACTTATCCTGTACAACAAAGGTGAAACGATACAGCACCCGTAGATCCCCAGTTTTCAAATCCTTTTGGAGAAGACATTTTCTTTATTTTGCCAGGAGATAACGCTTATACTCTAGAAGAAGCAATAGAATATACAAATGAAAAAAGTGTATTATTCAAAACTAATTTCGAAACAAACGCAGAATCATGCACAGAAGTAATAAGTTTCCAAGGTCATCCATTTAGAACCACATTAGATATCGGACATTCCCAAACAAAGTGTATTCAAGGAAGTTATGTTTTCGCATAAAGGAAAAATTTCAGTGTTACTGTTTATGACACAGAAAAGAACGAAAAATATGGAGAATATTCAAATATATTTAGTGTAAGTGGATCAAAATATAAAAGTGTTGTTTCATGTTATTCTCCAATACAACAATGCAAAGTTCAACTTTATACAATTGGAGAAGCTGTAAATAATGACACTTTAACTATTCATTCGATTTTCACAACAAAAGATTTTCTCGAGTTCAATCAAAAAGTTGTTGACTTCAAAGATGAAAAGGAGACATTTGTTTTGACTGCATTCAACCCACAAGAAATAACAGTTGAAGGAAAATCGCAAAATGGTATGAAATTTTCTCTTCTGAATGAAAATGACGAAACAACATCAGGAAACATTAATGGCCACATCATTATGGGTTCTCCTGTTGTTGAAGAAGGACAACTTTATAATGAAACAGGATTTGATCTATCTATAAATCTTGTCAATAATGAACAACAAACAGTATCCGATTCGCTTTTATTCTATGACATTTTATATGAAATACCTTCCGGTGTCAATACTGAACAAGAAGTGATTTCTTATTGTCAAAACAGTACCATAACAGTAATTCGTGAAAATAATTTAGGTGGTGATGATTTGGAGTATTATAGACTACCTGGAACAATGATTTCACATATTTCCGGATCACCTTTTTATTTAATCATGGGAATAGTCTACCTTATTGTATTGGTATCTCTAGCCCTTTGGGTATGTTTTTATTGGAAAAAATCAGACAAACAGAAAGGTAAACAAACTAAAGGAAAACCTGTTCCGGTAGAAAATTCCAATGATAATAAAAAGTAAAAATAAAATTTTAATTAATTTTTCTTGTGATTTCAATAATGTGAATCAATTTCAATTCAATTATCCAATAGGGAAGAAACAATGCTTGACATTCAAGACTTACTAATCAATTTTTCTACTGAAAAAAGATAGTTTTGATGGGGAAAAAGTTACTATAAATCACTTTTTGCAATTAAAAAAAGGATATAATATTGTATACAATTATATTTTATTTTGTTTCTATTATTAGAAAATGCTCGTGTAAGATATAGAATCACTCTTTGATTTGGAACGCGATCTGGAGTATGAATAACTTTTCTCATCTGAACCGGAATCTAAACTTTCGTTTTGTTTTGGTTCTTCATTTTTTACTCTTCTACGCTTACTTGAAGATTCGTCATCAGACATATCATCTTTTTTCTTTGAATATGAATAACTCAAAGATTCTGAACTATGATCTTTATTTTGTTCGTTGTCTTTATTTATTTCTTCATTCGATGTTTTATTTGATTTTTCTTGTTCTTCCTCTTCTTTTTGTGGTTTTGAATTCATATTATTATCATCATCAGAAATTATAATTTCTTCATTGGCTTGACTCTTTTTCTTATTTAGAATTGTCATAATTACAACGTAAACAACAACTGCAATAGAAAGAATTATTGTAAGAATAATTACAATAATGAGAATCAATTTTCCGTGGCCCTGATCAATTGTTTCTTCAACTTTATTAAAATCTATAACTTCTTGCTTTGTTTTTCCTCCTCCATTTGAAGGTAATCTTAAATACAAATCATTTTCTATTAATTCTCCATCAGTTGCATTCCCTTCTAATGATTCGACTTCAGGAGTAACTGTAACTTTGATCTTTTGCATTGATATTTAAAGAGGAAATGTTCACCTCATCACGAAAGATTTTGACAAAATCATAATAAGGATAAATTGTGACAGTATTTGCTGTAATTTCATTTGTTGAAAAACTATCAGATGCCGACATATAGGTTTTAAGCTGATCGCTATTACTTGTTATATTGACCTTAAATTTGTTTTTGTTATGGACAGTGATTGAAAACATATCAATTTCTTCTTCATTTATTATGATTTCTTTTTCAACTGTAAAACTTGAATTTGTTGTAAATGTTGATTCTATTTTCATTGGTGTCATCATAAACCTCTTTTTTACTGGTGGCAAAACACTTATAGCTTGAATTGTACATGATTCTGATTTTGATTTGCACTCTAATTTTATTAATTGGCTGATTCTTTCATCAGGTCTTTCAGTTGTTATACTAAAAGGATTTTCATATTTCTTTACAATTATTTTAGGGGATAAATTGTTATTTGATGACTTATAATGTGATGTATCATTATATTCAACTGTTGCAATGAAATCATCTTTGCTTTCCAACACAAAATTTCCATAAAGACACTGACATTCTCCTGGTTGAATTGTGAATAATTTTGAATCTGTGTATTTCAAACCAATATCATGGCCTTTTTCTATAAATTCTGGGCTCCATATTTCATGATTCAAACATTCTTCTGTTTCATTAGTTACAAAAGAAGGAGAAAATCTAAATTCTTCTTCAAATGGATGTTGGGTTTTAGTGAAAGCGTCAACTTGGGATTTTGAATAAATTCCCATTTTAGTTGGCATAAGAAAGAATTGATTCATTGGAAAATATGATTTAGTTCTGACATGACCTGAACTACAATATGAAAAGAAATATTCTCTTTTCGATTTAGAATAAGGGGTCAAATCCCACAACCCAACTATCTTGTCATCTGGATCTAAGTTGGCTCGATCCAAACTTTCGATCGCATGACCATTAAAAGCGGTTAGACGCATTCTTTTTTTAATAATTGAATTGAAAGCAATAAACTTCTGAGAGAAAATAACTTTCGTAGAAAATGCTGAATATTTGATATTTTTATCTTCAATTACAGATGCATCAAGATTAACAAACTGTATTAAAAATGGTGAATTTTCATCTATTGGTGAAATTCTCCAATAAAAGTTATTCCCTGACTGTAAATTATTTATAATTGCAAAAGGATTTGAATAAGTGTGAATTGTTTGAGATGACTGACTTGTATAATAATATTCAGTTTTTATTGTCATATTTGATGCTACAAATCCATTGTCTTTGCAGCAAAAATAATATCCTCTTGGAATTTCAAGTGTTGTCAAACCTGATGAAGCGTTGTAGATGTATTTCATGCATTTCGTTTGAAAATCATTTGAATATGCCGTCCAAACCAAAAGATTGAATACAAAGTACATTTCTAACGACGATTATTATTGATTCAAAATTTTATATATTAAATATTAGCCGTTAGTTGATTTATGATAAAATTAGTATGACATATTTGAATTGTTAGCGTCTTTTTGATAAAGAGAAATCCATTGTAATTTAATTATAAATAGAATGGTGGTTTCCCTTGTTTGTATTTAATTTTAAATTCAATTCAAAAAGGCCATTCTGAAATATGCTGTCAATTTTTGGTAATTTTGAATGGTCTTTCAAACATATGTAAAGAAATACCAGATTCTATTACCTTATAATTTTTTTTAAATGAAAAATCGAGGGGTAAATATTTTTGAATGTTATAGACCGAAAATAGATTTTTTCGGTTTTCTCTTCAAATAATTGAAAGAATGATACTATTATAGGTTTATTATATTATATAGCATATAATCATGCTATAGCCGAAAATTATAAGTTTTGAGAAGATTGAATATAACACAAATAAATTTGAATGTAAGTTAAATTGCTTGTTGTTTTTAATAGCTATTTAATGAGAAATCCAATATTGCAAAATTCAAATTGAATGATTGAAAGAACAGAAAAAGTCATTCTTTTCAATTTCGAATATGTTTCATTGTATTTATAATTATATGGCAAATAAGATATTTAAACTTGTTTTTTGAAGGAAAATTCACAAAATTGAATAAATTCAAATAATTTTTATTCAAAAAGAAACTAGTTATTTGAGTTTATTACTAATTATCTATTCAAACTACAAAGTTTGTAATTTAAAATATTTTGTGAGATCAGATTGAATTAATTCAAGGTTCTTTTCAATTAATATTAATGACCATATTACGCATTTTCGAACATTCTAAACCAAATATATAAAAATGGGAGACGAATGTTAAATTTGCTAGACATGGGGGAGTTGTCTGCAAAGTTTTAGCTCTTATCTCTAACAAAAAATTAATTTTTAAAAAAATGACCGAATACGTTTCACAGCGAGAAAAAAATAAAAGGCAAGATAGAATTTTCTAGACATAAAGAAGTTGTTTACCGAGTTTTAGCTCTTATCTCTAACAAAAAATTAATTTTTAAAAAAATGACCGAATACGTTTCACAGCGAGAAAAAAATAAAAGGCAAGATAGAATTTTCTAGACATAAAGAAGTTGTCTACCAAGTGTCAGCTGTTACTTCTTCTCAATACTGATATAAAATAAAAATCTTTATTATTTATTTAACCTTTATTGTTTCATTAAACTTCATTTATTTTATATTATAGTTTTATTCTTTTAGCTACTTGTAAAATAATCTAATTTTATATCATCATTTTACCGGATTATTCTTCAGTACATCGATTGTGTATCTAAAATAATATCATTATCCTTATTCTGTTTTTTCCAAAATTCTTTTAAATATCTTTTTTGGTTAGATTACTTTAAACTTTTTACTTTTATTTTTTAATTTCAAAAAAAATTTGGTGATTGTTCTATTCTGTTACAATGTGCATTATCATATTCTAATGAATTATTCATTACATACATTTAAAAAAACTTGTTAAAAATGAAATTAAAAAATTATGTTTATTATTACGCTGTGAATGTGTCAACAGCGGTCATGCCTGTATCTGTATCCCATATTTGCCACAACCTTTCTGTATCTGCATTTGTGTATTTCGGTTTCAGCTGATACATTTGATTTGGCGTGTAATTTGTTCCAGTTAATGGATTAATTGGGAGATCTTCATGCGGTGTGTTATTATTGTACTCCCAAATAAAGGCAGGAATAGCCTGAATGCTTTGGCAGCGCTCCAATGTCGGCCAGAATCTCTCAATCTTAGTTAGTATACATAACATGGGTACGGAGGCACTGCGTTCCACCGTACCCCTGTTATGTGAATTTGACACTTTACAAAACTGTTAACGTATATTTTACAACACAAACGACAACACTAACTTAACCTTAAATATTTACAAAGCCGCCAACCACTTCACTTCACTAATGAAAAAATAAACGTTCTCACTAACGTTCCCACTAATGTTCTCATTTACAAAAGTATTGCAGCGCTTCCCATTGCTGTGCTTCACACAATAGTTCATATTCTTCAGTATCGCTGCTGTCACTCCAATCGTCAGAGTCAAAATCACTGTCAAAATAAATGTATGTAAGTTTTGACAAAGCTAATGAAACACGCTTACCGTTTGTATCTATTGCTTTTATATATCTCCCATTATGTTTGTTGTCGTAAACGCTCAAACTAACTTTACCCTTTCTCCCTCGTATCTGATAGAATGTATTTTCACGAGGAACGAAGAACAAATTCTTGAACTCATGACCGTTGTAGTTTGTTATCTCAATAGTTTTCGTCATTTACATCCAAATAAAAATTTTCAGTAAAAATAAACTTAAAAATAAATGATATCACCACTCCCACACGTATGAAAACATAGCACAAAAATAAATTTAGGGTAGAAGGTTAGATCTAACCTCATTTCTAACCTCATTTCTAACCCTGTTGAATTCATTGCTTTATAACTCTCTTCCTTTATCCAACTCTTCTAACTTCTTCCTAAGTTCAGCAATGTTGTCCTCATGAAGTTTAATCTTTCTCAAAATTCCTTCTTTATCTAATGGTTGCTTTATCTTTCTAAACTGAACTCTACCATCCTTCATAGTATGAATGTAAAAACCTTCTGGAATAGTTCCTGATTTAATGTATTCTACCAAAAACTTTTGTTTCATTGCTTCAGTGACTTTAGTCGTCATTTCAATCAAATAAAAATTTTAATATTAAATAAAAATAACGTTATTTTTTCAGTAAGGAAACGCAGGAGTTTTACGATTTATTTGAGGAGTAGGTTCTGGTTTAAATGTTGGAGTCGGTTTAGGAGTTGACTTTTGAACAGGAGTTTGTACTTCCATAGGTTCAGGAGTCATTGAAGGTTTTGCTTGTGAAGGCGTTGGTTTTGGCGAAGGTGTTGGAGTTTGTTTAACTTCAGCTACTTCAGTATTATTTACAACATTTGCTTTATTTCTTTTCAACATCATTACTGCTCCTGCTGTAGCTAGCAAACCTAGTGGGAGACCATATTTTATATAAGGACTTGACCAAATGTTTTTGACAGGAGCTGGTGGAACACCTAACCTTGGTGAGACTGCTCTTTGCCATTGTGCAGCTCGTAAGAAATATTCAATAGGTGCTCCATAATCGTTTGGTAAAGTTTGTTTCACAGATGGTGAAGGTTCACGAGAGCTTGATGAAGAACTCATTTATAAGCTTTAAAAATAAACGTTCATCCTTTATTCCTCACTGTCGTCCGTAGCTAAGTTATAGTCATCTAATCTTATTATGGGGATGCCATTAGCACGCACCTGAATGGCAAAGCAACAATCCCTCATAAATCCAATAAGTGGCTTTGGTACGTTTTCAGTTGCTAGTTCAATAGGTCCTTTAACAGACAATTTGTATGTTATTGGAGCAGTAGATGTTTGACCTTGCTGGAAGCAAAAGTCCACTTCAGTTGGAAAACCACATAAGAAATGTGTGTTGTCATAGCTATCCATTTATGTTCCACACTACCATCATCCACCAATGACCTCATAACATCTTCATTAAATCCAAT